TTCAAAGGTATTTAAATTGCCTAAAAAACAAAAGAAGTTTCAATATATATTAAATGGTTATATCCTTTATTTTGGTTTTTGAATTTTGAATGTTTTAATAAGGTAATGCTAATTTTTTAAAAATGTATTTAAAATCCACCTAAGCAAGTTGATGGCATTGTTAAAAAAACTATTTCAGTGTACTTGTGTGAAAGAAGAAATAAAATATAAAATCATTTCATGGATGTATAAATCATGTGTTTATAATATTAAATACATTTACTGTAGTTTAGTAATTATTTATTAAATTTTAAATTGGTCCATAATCGTCTTATCTTTTTGGCTACATTCAAGGAATTGCTGTGTTATATATGTGTGCGATATTATATTGCGTTCCTGGCGTTTGAGAATTCAAAGAGAAAAAAGGAATTTTTTTTTATTTTGGGAAAGTGTTTATTATGCTATGTCTGTTGTTTAATATGGTTTATTGTTGATAATTTGTAAGAGTATTGTTGTGAAGGGAGAGAAAAAAAAAAAATATATAATATAAAATTAATGTCCGTATGGATTGATAAGTATGCTGTGTACGAAGCAACCCTAAGTAGTAGGGCAGCATTACTTCTAATAAAGCATTTCACTATAAATAATTGGGTATTAAAGTTAATTCCAAAATATTGTCATATAACTTATATAGAAAACTAAATTAGTGAATAATTCGATAGATCTTCTCTTTGTGATATTCCACTACCATTTCATTGCACTTGTGTGAAAAAAGAAGTGAAATACAAAAATATTTCATAGATACGTTTATAACCCTAAATATATTTACTGTAGTTTAATAACTCTAGATCTCATAATATATTTAAATATTTAGATATCTATCGTCCGTTTATTCCGAAAAATCATCATATAAACTTTTAGAAAATTAAATTAGTGAATAGTTTGATAATTTTTCTTTTTGCGATATTCCAACAGAAACCACTTACAATTAGTGTGACAACTTTTGACCTGTCTATGACAGACACTGCAAATCTCATAATTCCGTTTTAATAAACTTTGCAATGGAAAATAACAGTTTAATAACTTATAGTCGTTCAATCCATAATCAATAGATCGAACAATCCATAATCAACGAATCGTACAATCCATAATCAACCGGTGATATAATAAACAGGACTTTTGTTATTTTAATAGCATTTGTGTTTTTTTAGCTTTAGCTTAGTTTAAAATGCAATTTAAAACATTTTATAAAAGCCTAACATGGCCAGATTAATTTTTATTCAAAGTTCAAAGAGTAAGTGAAAGTTGTGTGTTGCGCACACCAGATTTTTTTCATTTTAATGTGTTCACTAATCAGGCAATTTTTCCTTTTCGTAAAAATATCTGTAGTTTTCGATAGTCAATTTTTAATATCAATGTTATGATATACATAATTGAACTTCCGGAGGAAAAAGTCGATATATTTTTTTAACATATTTTGATTCGTTGATATATTCCCGAATTTCATTCTGAAACACTAAATAATAAAAAATAAAAAATGCTTTATCAGTCGAAGAGATAATAAGGGTGGTGGAGACCCATGGCTGAAAAATCGTTTTTTTTTTAACTCTAATTAGATATTTGCTGGAATATATATATATATATATATATATTCCAGCAGTCGAGAAGGTCAACTGCTAAAAAAGTCTTATTTTACTATGGAAATTCATTCTTTTAAACTCGTCTGATTCAAATGTCTTAAATCAGAGATTTATTTAAATCACTTGAGGTAGAGGATGAGGGCATCAAAGCAAAGTGGATAAACACTGTGTTGTTTCGACCATCCATTCTTAACAGAATCTTGAACCAACGTTACGATGTTAGTCACTCTTTCGAGGCAGGACTTCAATTCTTGAAGTTAGAAGATTTTCGCTATGAAAAATCGTTTTGAAGTTAAAAACAATAACTAAAAAAATTCAAAGTTTGCATTTTGGATTGACTGTAATGGTATTCCGACGGATTCATATCGGCGGACGTCTAACTTTTTAATCTTATATTAAGAAAGAATTACATGAAATAGGTGAAACCTAATGAGATATGAGTCACGCCTTATTGTATGGGCTACGGAATTATATCGTGACCTGATGTGACTACTGAGAGAGGTCCTCGTACCTTTTAAATCTTCTAAAACTTCTTTTTTTGTATAGATAAAATAAATACGCCTTTTAAGTAGTTATATACGTATCTTTAATTGTCAAGAGGTATAATTTGGCACTAGTAACAAGACAGTCATTTTAAGATTCTAAAGATCTTTTAATTGCATAGACATGAAGAAAAAAACCCTTGACCAATTTAGGATGTTTATGTCTATGACCTTGATCTCTCGATATTGATATCTTCTTTTAAATCCTATAGCAATAATAATGGCGTAATATCTCCTCACGAACTTGACCTCTATGCCACAAGTCCTTAAACTGTGGCCGCGTAGTTTCGTAATGTCATTGCCAGGGGTTCGATAAAAAAGTTTGATGTTGAGTTAACATTTTGGCCTTCATTCAAATACCTTTAATAAATATTTTATAGAATTCTTACAATACCTTTATCTTAAATCTCATTCCTTGATCGTCTTGAACCTAACATAATGTTGGACATATAATGTCTAACACCCCCGATACACTTCAGCCTGTCTTTACATTGGTTTCTAACGCTTCTAGTCCAGGACAAATCATTAGAAGTAGGGCTGTCATAATTGTCGATATAGTAGATATGTTCAAGCAGTTATAAACATAAGTACTATAAAAAAATCTGGTGCACGCAACACAGAACTTTCACTTATCATATACTTTGATTAGAAATTATTTTCTGGTAATGCTGGGCAATTATAAAATTTTTGAACATTTTTAACGGAGCTTAAAGATTACAAGTAACAAATGATTAATACCATTAAAATAACAAAAATCCTATTTATTATATCAGCATCGCTAAACCTACAAAGAAACATCTCCCTAATAGAGCAACGGTGCAACAATTGCTCCATAAATCAATGAATCGAAATGCAAGCATGTCACCTTTAACCTCCGACGCTGATACTGTCCACCTATCCTTTTCAACTCAGTACGGCTTCCCATTTCAGACACAGTTTGATATCTTGGATTCATTTTAGACAAAATACTAACATGGAACCCACATACCAGACTTGAAAGACAAAAACGTAACAGACGATTTGGTCAGTTGTACAGACTACTTAACAGAAAATCTAGCCTCTCAATTGAAAACAAACTATTAATATACAAGACCATACTGAAACCCCTCTGGACCTACAGATTTGAACTGTGGGGGACAACTAAATTTTCGAACATCAAACGCATCCAATCCTTCCAGTCTAAAGTCCTCCGTATAATAGTCAATCCTCCTTATTATATTTCGAACAAGACCTTAACATGCCTTATATCCTTGACGTAATTCCATCTCGATTTTCAAATTTCCATCAGAACCTAATCCATCATCCTAATCTCTAAGCACGATCCTTATCCTGTTCCAGTCATCCCTACAATCCTCCTCGAAGGTTGCAGCGGGAGTGGCCACGAGATCTTTTGTAAATACGTCACTGGAGTCCTGGCAATAGGCCAGCTTCTCCACACAAGTCATGATCGTATGTGGCTTTAGTGCCCTCTCTTAGTCTCCACTGGATTCCCATCCTATTGATGCGGTTGAGAGAGAAGCGCTGGGATCTCTTGGAGTCTGGCCTTATCCTCCACACGTGGGGGAAAAGGCCCGACTCGGAACTACCTCGGTTGACTGTAAATATTGTAAATAAATATTTTTTTTTATTTTTTTTTTATTTAATGTTGTCTCATGTTTGATTTATTCTATTATTGCAAGTTTTCTTTTCTTTTCTTTTGTTATAATCTTGTTTTTCTTTTATTATGGCATGATTATGTTTCATACATCTTAAATACTTAATGTTCTTAATTGAGGCAAACATTTTTTCTCAATAAATTAGTAGTAAAAAAAAAATATATATTATATCAATGATTGATTATGGATTGTACGATCCGTTGATTAGGGATCATACAAGGGATGCCCAGAAGAGGGTTTCATGGCGCAAGTTGCGCCATTAAAATTTATCAGGGGAACACATTTTGGCGGGGTTTTCAATTTTTGGGGAGAGCACATTTCGACGGGGTTCTGAATTTTGAAAATGAAAAGTTTCAAATCAAAAAGCAATTGAAAGCACGGAACAGACCGCAGCATGTTCAATTGTATATAATATATGAATATTTAAGTTCTACTTTCGTCTGAACTATTTTTAAGAAACTGAGACCAATAAAATATCTTGGGATGGGTGGGAGAAGGATTATGCGCCATCGGCCTTGGGGGGAAGGGGATGGGCACCTTTGATTCATACAACCATTAGATATTTAACTATTATTTTCCATTGCAAAGTTTACTGAAATGTAATTACGATATTTGTATTGCCTATCATAGATAGGTCAAAAGTTGTCACAAGAACTTTGGTGTATTACTGTGGTGGTATAAAAGTGTAAACTGTTGGGATATGCAAAAAGCCTGTACCATTACAACACATGAAGAGTCTTGGATGCAGTACTAGGTGAGGAAGTACTGTTTCAAGGCCAACGACTGTGCAGGTCAGTGAAAAATCACTAGTCATTAGCCGGATTCGAAACCATGACCTTGAGCTCTGGAAGTCAGTGCTCACCCACTGAGCTACCCCGCTCCCCACTGTTGGGATATTACAATGCGAAAATAAATCAAATTATTCATCAAAAATTTTCACGATCGCAATACTTACCCTTACTATATATCACATATATACGTTACATATAATATTAAATATATTAGTAAGTGAAAGAAAAATACATAACTCCGCAATATAAATAAATAACACTGTAAACTATTGATGACTCTATTAGCAAGCTTGATTGATAAGCTTGAAATCGACTTAATTTCACACATTTCACGATGTTAAAACATAGTAGATAAGTTTCGTAATGGGAATGAAAATGTAACACCAATAATAATTAATTTATTTTATTTTTATTATAACCTATCTCTGAAATAAACAATATGGTAGCTATAGATAGTCCAATAAAAAGAATGTAAAATACACTTTGGAAATGATTAAGGGCCAAAGAGGAATAACCAATCGCAGGTTGCTTTGTCTTCACCATGACCTCCGCCATGTATGGATCCCCCTCCTCCTCCATCAGAACCTTTTCCAGGTGTCTCCCAATGTGACCAGTCTCGATAATTCTTCTGCAATATCTGTTAGATAAAATAGAAGACTGGCATTAGTTTCTCCTTCTATAGAAATGCTTTTCGAACAGCTCAAAATTGAATATTAATTCAAGAAACAAATGAATAAATAAAATATTTAGTGTCCGGAGTTTATTTTTTAGTTCTCCTAAAAAAATTACAAAAAATCTTCCGAGCGTTTGCTTCCCTTATTAAATGGGATTTTAGTCTTTATTTTTCATCCTCCTCGCCTCCAAAAAAACTATAAAAATAAAAAACGTATTTCAAATTCAATTACCAAAAGTATTGGTTATTGTTTGTCTATTCTTATCATCAAGTTTATTGTTTCTAACATTTAGTTTAATAATTAAACAAATGAATAACAAAGTATAATTCTAAACTTTCCCGAAAACAATTCAGATAAATAAAGTATATGGGAAGAATAATGTATGGGAATGGGGTAGCTCAGTGGTTACGGCATTGACTTCCAAAACTCAAAATCCCGGGTTCGAGTTCGGCTGATAACAGGTAATTATTTATTCTATTTCATCGGCCGTTGATCAAATCTAGGATCGGGAGACCCTCCTGGGGCACACCTAGCCTCTCTAAAGTGTGGGTAATCTTAATTTATTAATTAATTAAGGGAAAATCTGGCAGTTGAGCGTGATATCGATCAAATAACCTTCTTGCACAACTATTCCAAAACCCTTCATGGGTTATAATGGTACAGGTATTATATATATATATATATATACTACGTTTTACGCTTCCATGTTCAGTGTAATGCGATTAATTAAATAAAAGCACTGAGAGAACATACCTTCCTAAACAAATTCCATTTCCGTCTAATAAAAGACAATTTTTGGCCGCGTCCCTCCACCCTCCCTCTTAATATTTCACGATCTTTTACTTAATTAACACAAAAATTTCAATAAACCATATGGGTAATAATTATATTAAAGGTAATAAACTGCTTATTGAGCTATTTATATATGGCGTTCCGTTATCTTTCTCCCCTCCTATGCATTGAATTCTATTATGCTGTAACATTAACCTTTTGTACCAGCATGAGGGAAGAATAACCTGGGTTTTTTGGAAATTAAAAAAAAAGAAACACAAAGTGTGCCAGAATTAGGGGTGCCCAGAAGGGGTTTACAGGGCGCAATTTTTGAGGGAGACACATTTTTATGAGATTTAGAACTTTTTAAGGGGAGGGAGCATATTTTTGCTGTATTCTACATTTTTGGAGGCTATCATGTTTTTGTGAGATTTCATTGAAGAGGAAATCATGAAACAGATGACAGGAAGCCTAATTGTATATGATCTTCTTCTGTAATTGTGTATGATTTCTTCAAATTCTATTTTTGTTACACTATTATCGAGAAGTGGAAAGAAATGAAATTTCTAGAGAGGGGGGGAGGGCGATTTAAATCTGATATTTATCCCCGCCATCACTACCTGACCTCGGAAAACCTCCGTAAGGCGACAAAAACGGAGGAGAAACGAGGAGAATTTTTTTTTAAATATTCATGGAACACTTAATTCATGGAACACTCATAATATTTATAGATTATTTCATAATTTTGTACGGACCAAAAAATAAAAGGAATTTGGGTGTTTGCTCTCAAATGTATTTTATTGATGAACATTTCATTAATTTAGGCATGAAACACTAAAGTTCTTACTTATCCATCGCTGGTAACAATTGAGATCCTGGGGTTAGAGCAAATGTGATGTAGAACATTGCCAACTTTTCATTGCCCAGCTCAAAACCTGAGAGCAAATCTGACGTCCAGTAATCTTCAATCATCACAAAATACGTTTCCCCAACTGCCTTCCCTAAATTTAAAAATATACAAAAATTTTAAAGCACTAATTATTATTTACTGTACATTAAATACAAATTATGGTTGGCTGTAGCGAATAATGAAGAACTAAAAATGGTAATATTAGAATTCGTAATTCTTAGAGTTCTTATGTTACCTTATTTTGATTATATTTACTTCATTAGTCCGCACTTTATTATTATTTATTTCGTAGTTCTTGTTATTGTTATTATTCTACTTACTTTATTTTACTTTAATGTTATGATCTCATATCTACTGGATTCTACCGACACTATTTATGTTTCTCATACCTATTGTTATCTGGTTCATTTTCCAGTCCTGATGAAGGTCTGAACTTCGTGTCTAAACGTCGGCAAATGTTAAAATAAATATTATTATTTATTTTTGCTATCTTTATTATGACTGATCATCCTAACCATCCTTCTCTTCATTAAATACGAAATGTTTGATAATATACAATGAAAAATTCATAATAATTTAATACAGTGCTGTATATCAAGCACTGTATATATATATATATATATATATATATATATATATATATATATATATATATATATATATATATACATTATACTTCCAAGCAATTCTAAATTCATGTAAATTTATGATATCATCGAAAGTACTCCTATTAAGAGGCAGCTTAAAATAAGTTATCTTAGGATTCTTATTTTCAAGTTATTTAAATATCATTACTTCCATAATTTCATCAACTCTTCTTATCTGAAATCACGACCCTCTTGATGAGTCACAGCCTGCTCCAACAAGGATTGCCAGTCCTCTCAATGGCGTGCCACTGCCTTCCAATTCCATTAGAGTCCCTAACCACGCAATCTTTCAAACGAAGCTTGGAACGACCTACTCACCTTGTACCATGCAATCGCTTAGATAAAATTTTCAATTGGATCTCTTTCTGGTCCATTCAAATAACAGGACCATCCCAGCGGAGTCGTGTGAGTTTGATGACATTGACATCTTTATATATGACACATTAATCGGCATTTGTTTGTCTTCTCCAGGAGCCCTGCTCACACACACCTCCATATATTCTGCGGAGCACTTTCCTTTCGAATATCAAAAGAGCTTTTTCTTGGCCTTCAGTCATCGTCCAACATTCTGAGCCATATGTAAGTATAGGCCTAATAAGTGTCTTATAAATGCTTCCTTTAGCGGCTTTGGATAAGGTGCTGCACCTTATATGCTTTTGGAGCGCAAAGTATGTGCGGTGCGCAGAAAGAATGCGTCGCTCTATTTCTTCTTACATATTATTTTGGAAATTGATTTGGGATCCTAAGCAAATAAATGACTGCACCCTTTCGATTTGGTATGGACCTATTGTGTCATATCTTCCTTCAGCTGCCTCTGGTGGTTGAGTGCTCACATATTAGGTTTTATCAAAGATTATCTTTAGGCCCAAGCTTATCGCTGATTTTTCCAGTGTCTCAAAAGCTTCCTTCACTGCGTTGAGAGAAAACTGCGTTCTTACTGCAATGTCAAAGTCATCAGCAAATCCCAAAACTTAAGTTGATTTCTTAAATGGAGTTCCTTCTGTTTGGATCCTCGAGCCTCTAATTAATTTTCCAAGGAAAAATTGAATACGAAATTTCAATAATTAATCCTATGATACCAATACGAATAGTATGAAAAAATGGAGTTAAATAATATAGCTAATTATTTTCTTAAATTTGTACAGAGCTTTTATTTATAAGAGAGATACTAACCCCAAAGTATAAACTTGTCTTCGTTCAGTAATCTCAGATAGTGTTCCTTGTTCTTTATCAATACAAACCTTCTAGCCCACTTTTCATGCCATGGATTCTATACGAAAAAAGATATGAATTAATTAATGTTCCAATAAATTTATTAAATTATATAATTAATTTATTAATAAATTATATTATTTTTATAAAAATATTTTTTATTTAGTGATTGTTGAAGGCAAAATACTGACCCCCTTTACAGAAGTTTTATTTCAAAAAGTACCAATACTGCATAATTGTCTTATACTAATTGGCGTCTCATTGTATACCAATGTATACATAAATACTTTCAGTTATTCTATTACTAAATAAGATATTTATATTTCATATTAATCCCATTTGTTGATGTTTTCACTTCTGGTGTTAAAGACATACCATAGTATTATTTAATTAATTACAATTACACTTTTCTATTGAATAGAAAGCGACGACTAAACAAATATTTAAATTAAGTAACTAACAATTGCTTCGCTGTAAACTAAACAAAATTTACTATAAATGGAAATAGAGTTATTCATTGTTAGAACCAATTGGCTAAACCAAGATCTGCTCTTTAAAAAAATTATTAGCGATTTTTTTTTTTTTATTGACCTCCAACAATACTTTGCAGATCCCACCTTCAGACAAACTTCCTCATTTAATAAGTTTTAAGTGTATATTAATTAAGTTGAGATTTATTCGGGAAAACTTGAGTTTCACCTCAAGTTGTGTAAAAAATATGAAGTGATTTTATAACCTGTCACCAAAAAATATCCGTGTTTTCAGCAAAAATTACTACAATTAATTGTTCCAAACCTTTTATTTCTTGTTTATTTATTTATTTTTTCCACAAGAAAACTATCGATCCTTTTTCACAAATTGTTCATTATCTTCATCCATGGCGCGACAACTCTTTAAGTGTCAAGGCCTTCTGCATTTTGCACGCTATTTCTCTCTGGTTTCTGCCGCTCTTCAGTTGCAGATTACCAAGATGGGCCCTTGCTTCCCACTGTCATTCCATCAATCCTTCCGAGTCGAGAACTTTCCATTCCTTCCATACCATAAACTCTTTCATCAAGGATTTCACAAGGAATCTGGTCTAGAATCATTCCAACTGAAGACAATCAAAGGAACGTAAGAATTTCTGCATAGTTTTGTTTTTTTATGTGATCCTCCAGGTAGTATTGACGTAAACTGGGTCGGGAGTATTCACCTTTGAACAGTTAGGCGAAAAACCTCCTGTGTCCCAAACGGCTTCAGTTTCGAACGTTTTCATTTGGAGAAATTACAAATCTCCTTAATTATAAATCAATTTGCGTTAGAAGTTATTAGGAATAGCTTTGAAGCTTTGGATAGAACCTTCTGTTGAGGATACTTTAGATCAAGACAAGTTATGGATAGGGAGCCTTAAAGGACGAAACAACTAAACTGTCCCCAAAAAAAATTGTATTTTACAAATTGAATAATAGGAACAGAAACTAATAAGTAGAAAATAATATAGTAGAAATGGACTAAGATACAAACTGGTTGCGTAAATGTTTGTGATCCGTAACGATTGAAATAATAAATGAAAATAACAATTAATATAGCGGGAGGCAGTTGAAACACTGAGTGTTGTAAAGTGTTGAAACATTGAATGTATTTATTTGAACGCACCCTCCTCTCCCTCCCCCCCCCCCCCCCGATCAACTCCTTCTCAAACAATTAATATAAATTAGTTCCAAACTAATCAAGAGACAGAACATAAATGTTACATTATAATTCCGAAAAAAATTCCAAACAACACAGCCTTATGTCTCCAAAATGCAAGCAAAGAAAACAAATCCGTCAATGTTTCGCCATGACATCACTCCATCCAGATGCAATTGAATGTCATGGCGAAACGTTGACCGATTTGTTTTCTTTGCTTGCATTTTGGAGACATACAAGAAGAAATGCAGAAAGCTGTGTTCTGTCCTGATGATGCCTGAATTGGCGAAAACTTGACGGGGTTGGTTTTTTTTCTTTTTCTGTATTTTGGATACATAAGGCTGTGTGGTTTGGATTTTTTCCAAATTATAACAGAAAATAACAATGTTCTGTCCGATTTCAAAGGCATGTCCAATGTGGCTCAAATTGGACACTACAGTTCCACCGTGGTTAGTTGACATATGGCACGAAGTTGAAACACATTTTATTTTCTCTGTAATTTCTTTATATTGCGTCAAAACTATTTACGAACGTATCCATATATTTAAATCTTTATTTACTACTTAGATGGTCTCTAACCAATTTCAATCAATCCATCCACCAATAGCATAAATTTGTTGTTCACATTGTTTTTTCCTTACTATATGAGCTCAACATAAATGATGAGGAGGCTAAGCTTTTTAACGGAATTTTTACCAACATAACAATTATAAAAAAAATATAAGTGGTCAAATAAAATATTTAAAAAAAAAATATGTTTCACTAAAATATATTGTGTATATCTTATTTCACATGGTGAATGTTGGTCCTCAATACTTACACTCAAATCTAAAAGTTGTTCAAAATTTGGAGTATAGGTTAACCCCCAGAAATATCCACCTTCCACGAACCCTCGGATGGTTCCCGGTCGGTGGTGCAAATCTGGGGTAGTGAGTTGAGAGATCAGAGAGCTTCCAAAATTAGTCATAAATATAAAAGTGGTGATAGCCCAGCAACTGAGCAGCAAACGAACTGGTTCTGGATTCTTGTGGGATGGAAGGCGAGCATCCACAGATATCGCCCCGAAGGTCATTAAGCTGCAGGTTGATATGAAACTCCATTCTAGGCAAATGCAAATATATGAGTTCATACAAAAAAGATTTAAATAAAGAGAATCATTTCCAACAAATCGTTACATAACTACGTGCGGTTGACCTATATAAATTCCTCTCCTGCTGGCTTCGTCGAAGTTAGTTACAGATCGGGATGTTACGATATCATCGATATCGATAGATATACATATTTACCTTTCGATATCCCGTAATATCGTATCGAACCAAAAGATTCTATTATCTTTTGGTTATCTATTATCTAGCTATAATCTTTTGGTTCTCTTCTTCAAAGATATCCAGAGAGCACGTGGTTTATTAACCGGACGCGATCACCAATAACTCCCCCTTCATCAGATACTTTTCTGAAAGATGGTTGGCAATCTTTTGCAGCAATCTCCACTCTGTTTTTTTTTTATAGAATAGAGGATTACCAGTCCTCTGATTCTGGGATCCTCAAACTGATGAACCAAGTGCTATAGTGTAAGACCCAGGGTTCACTTACCTTCCTGTGTGGCGATGTTACCGTCCCCATGCGGGAATCGAACCTGTGCCGTAGTGGTCTTACTAAGCAATCGAGTAGAGCACCTATTAATTTTTTAATTTATTATTAATTATTTTCATTTTTTCGCTTTTTTTATTAAATCTAGTAAACGGGGTTCGAACACGACATAAAATTGCTTCGACGCCTTGACTCGCTCGACCACTTCGGCCCAGATGGTGTTCACTTGTTTATATAAATGTTTGTCCTTAAAATAATATTGGCAGTGTAAGGATTAAGCAACAAGATATATATGCATATATTTCATGCACTTATATTGTAATTAGTTGACACTTAAAATGGAAGATAGGAAAAGAAAAATAACTCGCTTGAGCACCTAACCACCCAATTTAAAAACATCAAATTAGCATATAAATGTATTTTTAAACCTTTGAAATAATAACCTTTAACTATCTCCATATTTTTATTTATTTATATTAAGTATTACAACAATCTGTCACATGGACACTAGTTATAGTGAGATAGGATAACATTCACACTATATGTACCAAAAATATAAAATAAATAGAAGCAAAATAACAATAAATAATAATCAGAAAGTATATACAATAAATAAAATAAAATAACCTTAAAATAAGAAAATTAAAACTAAGAAAAACAAAAACACATGCATACCTATTTACAATCAGGCGAGGGAACTCCAGGAGAACCCTGCGCTACTCTCTCAACCGCATTACTGGTACTAAAGCCAGCGGAGATTGGTCGAGAGCACTTTATTAGCCACATAAACTCATGCCCGGAGTGGAGAATCTGGCCAATCTTCCTATATTACTTTAAAAAATGATTTACAATGCTTTCAAAGAAAACAGCTCATGTCGTCAGCTTATTACAAAAAGTGACCAATCACATTTTTGGTAGAACTTAAATTTAAAGAGATTTTTGTCAATTTCGATCTTATTAATCGGCGAAAAACAACGTGAGTACACTACACCCAAACCCTTATATGTCAATTATCCTTATATATCAAATATAATTACAACAAACGAACAATTGTCTGATTTCACAAAGCTTAAATTCATCGATTTTCTGGGTGATTTAAGGCTAGGAAAGGCACTTAATGACTTTCCCACTAAACCGACTATCTTAAAAAGTACATTTTAATGTCGATATTATACTGATATCGATATCGACAAAGAATACCAGAACTTGTCTGATGTCGCAACAACCATAGGTATAATTTTAAATTATATTAAAATTGTAAAAGTGTAGCAGTAAAAATTAAGTGTACATTCAAGGAAAGTGTTGTCAAATAATGTAACTATTACGGGTCGTTTCAGGCAGTGAAGCTTATTTTCCGTACAAAATTTGGACTAGAATGTGGGTTATTATTTTCTGTCCATGAAAAAAAAAAACATATTTTTTTTCTTATACCTAAAACTCGAAATTACCATGATTTAACATTAAAAAGTTACTTTTATGGGCGATGTCATTGCGGATTCTATTGATGCAATAGGTAATCAAAGATATTGCGAGGACGTTAATGAAAGCAGCAACCAATAGAAGAGCCCACACTGACGGTGGATAATGCTTGAAGAAGGAGTTCCAGATGGCGTTGGAAGCTGCAGGCCTCCTGATGAGGTGTCGCAGGTACACCATTGAGGTAGGCGCAGTCAGCGGCATCGACTCGTACTTCTCGATAGTCATCCAGATCGATCCTACTCCGATATCGGCTTTTCCGTCCAGAACTGCCCTGAAGACTCCAGGTGTCCAGGTCCCATTCGGAAGTTTCATTCCCCATCTATCTTTGCTGATCAAGGCCTTCCAGGTTATATTCATCAGAGACGTCAGTCTCCAAAGAACGTAGAGATCTATTCCTTTGAACCAAGCTAAAACAATTTATATTAATAAGTTAATAAGAATAAAATCCTTTAATATTAATTCAGCTAAACAAAATGAGTACCGATTATTAAAGATATATCTTCTGAAAACAGAAGATGTTTGAACAAATTACGAGAAAAAATATTTAACTTTGAGTTCCTTATTTGCATAGTATACCGATCAATTAATATTTAAAACAATATTTGGAAATAGAAAAGTAAAATGGAGAAAGTTATTACTTTGTTGAGCAGTTGGAAAATAACAAATTGCTAAGCAATATAACTGTCAGCTAATCTCCAACATTCCTTCCGGTACATACCAAATGTTAAGTGACAGTGGTAGCAGATATGTCCTGGCATATATGTAGGTATCCTAGAATTTTCACAGATAAAAAGTTGCAGGGTATGTTAAAATGAAGGTACTCACTAAGTTTAAGAATAGTATTAATAATTAGGAAAAGAGCTACATACTGTGGATTACATGATTCAGTGGTCAGTGTGAACTTGTGTCACAGATAAACATTATAATTTATAATGTCCAGAAGAGACCATCAAACGAGAAAAGAAATGCTAGAAGAAAAAAGAAGAAGACATCAAGAAGCAATGATAAAGCTGTTAAGTCTGCAATGCACAACTAAAGGGGAGAAAAACAAAAGAAAATGAGTAAGAGAACAAAGGAGACAAAAGATTAAGCAACGAAGCTGTTTTGGAAGTTGAAATTGCGCGTAGCCAAAAAATCGATAAAACAAAAGTAAGAGAAGAAAGGGAGCTAAGAGTTCCAAAGCTCTTTTGAGAATCTCATAGAAGTGGTGAGAGAGAACATAAACAAGAAAAATTATGGAGAACACATTATGGGAATCTGATATATAAAATAAATTGATAAAAATAGTCATAGAGTCCGCGCCCCAGTGCCGGGGAAGTCTTTTGACTCTGCTATTAATCGCCGCCCTCACTCCTGGCCCGGAAAAACATGTATAACCTTAAAGGCGGGGAAGAGGACAAGGACAAAAAATAAGTGCGTGATAGCCAAGATTTTTAAGGCGCCATGACCTTAGCAATCTCGAGTCTAGCGGCGCTAGTTCGAATGCAACGAATGAGTTGAAATTTATTTCGTAGTGGATTCACAGACTGAATCTCGACGTTCCCATTCCGATTAAAATAGGTTGGTAATACCTGTAGAATAATCTCTCTCCCCCAAAGTTAATGTCTCCTATAAATTACCAGGTAGTGAGTAAAAGAAGAACAAACATCGGCATCTTCTCAAGAACAAAGAGAGTTCAAGAGAATGCTAGCTCAAGAACGGAAGCTCAAGACGTTAGTGAATATATAACTTTTTTAACAGTTTGAGGCATTAAGTCATGTCTGAAGTAGAAGAAAATGCCCTATTTAATCTGGAATTCTTAAATTGAATAGTAAGATAAAGGCGCCTTATTATAATCAACTTGGAAGTTAGATTGTCATTTCAGTCAGTTACGGTGTAGAGTTAATGCATGCTATCTGGCAGCACTGTAGCTGTTAAAAACAAAGGCTAGATTAGCTTGGGTGAAGTTACCCAGAGAAGTGGTAGTCCTTTATTCCTGATAGTGTCATGTTTATGTAGAGGAATAGAAGTGTTTTTGTGTAGTTGTGGTGGTATAAAGTTTATCAATATAGCCTGATTTGTTTCCTGAAGTGATTTCCTTACATCACATACGGACCAACTGATGAAGACGAAAATTGCATTTAACAAATGACTACCGCCCGTACAGTGGGCAAGACGGTCTATAAGATGAGCAGTTCAGAAAAAGGTTCCCGTATGAGTGTACTACTTCCCTCGCTATGGCAGACAGGTTAAAAGTGAAGATATCTGTGGAGCTTGTGAAGCAGCTAGTTGGCAACGAATTAGATACTACCCATGTTTAGCCACAAGGGCCCTCCAGGCGTTAGGATTGCTACTGATACTGGAATACCAGTGGGTTTCCAGGAATCGCAGCAAAAATCCTCGGGCTCAAAGTCTGAGTTACTGACCTCACAGCCGTTAGTCAACCTATTAAAGCTCTAAAATAGACGGTTTTCAAGATGAAAATGTATGGTAAAGGTTTTCAGTCAAATAAGCACAACTTTTTTTTTGCAACGGCGGTGCAGTCCACACGCGTTAGCGCATTCAGCCACCCCGCCCACAAATAAGCACAACTTAATTGCAGCTTTGTAATTGGATACAAATTGAATTCTTTCGAATACAAAAAGTATTCTTTCTTATTAATAATTTTAACTAGTTATCCCATGCAAATAATTCGCATGGAATATTGGTCAGAGAACAATTGACAATATAATACAAAACTAAGTTAATTATAAGTATTTTGAGTCAGAAAAAATAATTTTCTTCTTCTCAGTCGAATTCAAAATAATAAACCAAACTGGGTACATTATTATAGCCTGTATTTTTGTTGATGATGGTCTGATTTCAATGATTTTTTTTATTTTGTAGAGATTTTAGTAAAATTTCAAATAATTATGGGTCTGACCCAAAAAAAAAAAGAATACTTTTTGAGTTATTCGCAAATAAAGTTTCTTTTTCTTCATAACTTGTTTTCGTAAAATTTAGAAAGGATAGGACTATATTCGCCAGTGGTCATGGACTATGTTCGGCAGACTATAAAAGGCGTTTGCAAATATTAATTAGCCTGCTTAAGAATATTTTGTTTTCATCTTTATTGTTGAACTTGGAGTTTATTATTTTAAACATCATTTTAAAAATACATTTCTGATTTTATTTAAATGATAAAATAACGTATATCCCTGATTGCACTAACTAATTCTCTCTGAGAATTCGAGTCTTTTGTTGTTTGCCGTCATTAGATGTTTAAAGCAATACTTTTGTTAATTTATGATAATCTATTGAAGGAAAAAGCTAATATTTAAATTAAAAATTTAAGGAAACTCAATGGTTAAACCATGACACATTGTAAATCATATTTACGACTGATGGTTTACTATATATATATATATATATATATATATATAATATATATATATATATATATATATAATATATATATATATATATATATATATATATATATATATATTAAACCTTGGCGTACCAAACATTATTGAATGGATGTGGTGCTGAGTATTCACACGGGTCAGCTAGTAGATAATAATCTCAACCTCTTCAGTTTATATAAACTTATACAGTAATCAAAAAACAAAACAAAGGAGATCGGCTTTGTACTACAACTTGTGCTAAATGTTTAGAATGCTAAACACCTACAACAAGTCATCCAATTTCGATTAATTTTTTTTCCCCATTTACTTTCAAATTTATGTTTTTATAATTTATACTCAATTTTTGTTTAATTTATATTATTTGATCAATTCTGAAACCTAATTGCCTTTGATATATTTAATTATAAAAATCATCAAAAAGTGGATAATTTCTGTATAAAATACTGAATCCATCGCTACTTTTTTTCCAGCTTCTTTTGGAGGAAGTATAACTTGAAGCTTGAAGGAGGCCAGTTTCCTTAAAATCACTCGAGCCGTTTTGTCTTTGATAGCAAATCTTAATTCGCTCATATTTTTCTTCTTATTATTTTCAATAATAAACCATTGTTCGCTAAAAAAAAAATAAAATCCTCACTATCATAGTACATTACATTTACTTATTTCCATATTATCCAATATTACCATTTGTTGACAGCTCGATATACTGTGCGAAATATTTCCACGGGCAAACTAGTTAATAATTATGAACATTTATATGTTACACATTATATACTTTTACTTATTTCATTTTGCTTTCTCACTACAGAAGGTTTCTGTAGTCAAATCGATGTAACTGGCATATCACCTACTACAGTTCATCCGATTTTGAAATTTCCAGAAATTGTGCGAGGTTGGTGTCTGGATGGTCCCATATCAATTATTAAATTTCATCCAGCACTTCTGTTTACGCACGCGTAAACGCATTTTTGTGGATAGGCCAATATTTCAGAAATGGCTCTTGAAGTTATTTGGCTTAAAGTTGGATAAAAGGTAGGCATTTGTAAAAATATAATATAGGGTCAATTTTAGTGAATTCTGTCCACCGCTTTCTCTTATATATGTGCAAACGTGTTTACCTTGATACGTCTATATCTCTAAAACCGCTAGTTGGCTCAAATTTGGAGAGAATTTAGGGCTTGGTAAACGTAAAATTAAATATGCATCAATTTTATAAAATTCTATCTACTACTCCAAAAAAATATACTTCCGCTTTCAGATCAGGAAATGTGTTATTTCATACGCCTATAGTTTGAAATCGGCGCATTCGATTTGACCCAAACTTGGACAAATTTGGAAAACAGTGTAGAAATTAATTAGCATCAATTTCATTGAATTTCATTTAATAATTAAAATTAATATAAATAATCGTTAACAAAAGAATGGCTGTGAAATGTGGAGGCACTGAGAGGGGCTTTGTTTATTACAATATTGTAAAATTTAGGTTTTATTCAAAAAATTAATTTATAGTATATTGTTTGATCGATTCCAAACGTTACTGCCGCTACTTAGATTTCGTCTAGTTTTCAGTAAATTTAAAATCATTTTTGCTCTGAGTTTATAAAAAAAAAATCGTCATATTTGTGATTGTGTTTATTCACATTGAAGTTCAACCAGTTCGTCTTGGTCTCGATTCCCTCCTTAAATATCGAAGTTGTGTGAACTTCATTCATATTTTTATATTCCAGCTTAATTAGTTCTGTTCTGAATGAAGAAAAGTATTGGGCTCGTTAATCTCGAACAAGCAACAAGTTGAGAATATTTCCTATGGTTTTTCTTGTTCCATCCATTTTACGAGTGAAAACATACCTATTAAGTATATATCACTACTATTAGTGCAAAAGGTCATATGTATAAATTTTCAAATTTTATTCTATTTGTGCTATAGATGACGTTCTGTAATTTGCGACTGATATAAGTAGTCTCCTACTATGGAAAATAGCAGAGGAAAATAAAATATGAAATTATACTAATAAAGCATACAGAATTAATTAGTTTTTATGCTCTCTTGTAAAACAATAAATTTTTACATACGACCTTTTGCACTAACAGTAGTGATATTATGTATGTTCACAATGCATTGGTATTTTTTTTTAAAATTAAGAATCGTCAAATATGGAATCTTCAACTCAAATACGGCAATCTTTCGCTTTTTTAATATTAGCTTGATATTAGGATATCAAACCCGCGATAGTTGAAGAATAACTGTATTTCCGAATCGGCTTCTCTCAGGTATTATATTCTCATACCAAAATTGTATACTTTGTAATATTTTAATATTTTAGCCAATCAATACGGTGAGGAAGCTATACTGACTAGTGATGCCCAAAATCGGTCTTGGTCTTGCACTTTGCAAGACCAAGACCAAGGCCGCCTAACTGTTGCAAGACTTTGCAAATTGCAATTGCAAGAAGACCAGGATTAGTAAAAAAAAATCGATGTTTTTAATAAAAAATTAAAGCAAAATAGTTACTAATATTCGACAATCTTAGTTACTATATGTAAATAATTGGTATAACCAATATAGTTTTGCATTTAATTCCTCTAATTTTTCATTCAGGCTTAGTTAGGTTTCTCCTATCTACAAAATACAGTACTGTAAGACTGTTGCGAGACTCCTGTGCAAGACCAAGACCATGACCAAACTGAGTTTGCAAGACCAAGACTCGGCTGGGTCTCGCATTTGGGCAACACTAATACTGACTTTGCTTGGCAGACGTTTTTTAAAAATTAATTAGCATAGTACTATTGTATAAAATGAATAAATTATATACTGTGTGAATTTTTTCCACGTGCAACCTAGTTAATAATTATGAACATTCATATGTTAAACAATATATACTTTTCCTTTTTTCATTTTTAAAAAATGAATTAGCATAGTACTTTTGTATAAAATGTATAAATTATAATGACGAACCTGGATGTCCTTTCTCATCAACTTGGCCAAATGATGTGAACATGGATACATTAAAACCAGCGACGGTGACTTCGCGGCCCTTGAAATTCATTATTCGTCTCTGAAAACATATATACAAAACTTAATCTTTAAAAAAAATACTATTTGAAACCCAAAAATGAATTAACAAGAGTATTTATTTAAGTACCGACAAATTAATAAAAATATAGCTTTTTTTTAACGTAATGATTTTTTTCTTCATACTTGCGTTAAGTTAAATTACAATTCATTATTTTAAGATAAATATTTTTATATTACTTATAATAATATTTTTTACTTGTTTTCCCCATGTTTCTTCTTCTCCAATGAGGTTTATTTCGTAAAATATCTTCTCTAATTCATCGAATTTGTAAGTACGGTAACCATCGGTGATCAGCGCTTCTGATTCGCCGAATAAATATGTTTCATTCTGCAAAATGACAAGATGTAGACAGAAGATTAAAAATAATGATAATCAAACTCTGCAAATCATTACACCATGGTTTATTATTTCCAAACAATGTAACCTTAAAATTAAAATTACTTTCCATGTAACGTAAAGACAAATAACTAAAAGGCAATTCGCCTAAATATATTTTTTTTCGTCATTGGTAATTTGCTTAAAAAATAGACATCGTTTCAGTTAATGTAAAACTTTCAAAAAAATTAAAAACAAAAACATAATATATAAGCTTTACAGTAAAAGATATGAAAAATATTTAGAAACACCATATCTCTGTACCGAATTGTAGAATTTCCATTATTTTTTTTAGGAAATTTCGTAAAATTAAAAAAATAAAAACAGGCATTTAGGTCGCTATCTTGGGAGAAAAGGGCGGATGATAATGTATAGGTAGAAGGATCACTCTCGAGTGACCTATGACTTCGATTCCAAATTTGAAAAAAAAAATTGATCCAGTAGTCACGGAGAAAAGCAGCAGACTGCGAAAAGTTTTATTCGATTTTCGAATTCTACGTATCGTGAAACGTAAATTCTCAAATTTTGAGGAACCTTACATTTTTAAATTTTAATAATTCTTTAATATTAACGTGTAAGTATAGACGATTACAGTCACGGGCGGATCTACGGGGGGGGGAGGGCTTTCGGGCTGAAGCCCCCCCCAAAGTGGAAAAATATTACCATGTTTTATGGGAAAAAAAATTAAAAAATAACTCTTAAAGTATTGTTTTTCATGTAATTACATTTAAAAGTACTTAAGGAATAGCTTAAACACCATTTCATATAGGTAGTTAGTTTCTTTCTGTTTTTCCAAAGTAATTATCGTTATTTTTATGAAAAAAAAGGTTTCGGGCTGAAGCCTCCCCCAAAATTAAATCCTGGATCCGCTAGTGATTACAGTGGTTGGTTATTGCAAATAATAAACCAAAAATATTATAAATCGCAATATTTTTACTAATAATACAAATAAACCAAAAATACAACAAAAGGTGGGTGGGTCATTCTCCTCAGAATTGTCAAAAAACCGCTGAAATTCTTTCGCCTATTTTTTTAACAAAAAAAAATTATAATTGGTTTCTCAATTTAATTTTTCAAAATGAAGGGAACAGGAAAAATTTTTAGAGCCCAGAAATAATTTTTCTCAATTAAAATACAAATGTTTAACCCTCTAAATCAATTAGAAGAAGCTATACAGAGGAAACCCCTTTAAATTCGAGAGAAAAAAAGTACAAAAAATACCAGAGATGAGAAGAAAAAGTCGAAATTCTCAAGACTTACTTCCCGAACAATAACTTAATTTACATACAAAAAATTTTCTTCCGACTGGTAAGGGTGAGGGCTATACATCAAGCTGGAAGTTATTTAAGTTGTAGCACTAATACATGTACCCAGTCCGTATTTTCATGCTGTAGTTTTCAATTAATTTCTCATTGGTAATTCGTTGGATATGCTCAGAAAATATTAAATCATATAGATAATAGATTATAATACAAATACAAAATTACTCGCCTTTACAAAACTGTTTAATAACGAATCTTCATATTGTAAGTAGCACACGATTCTATGGTTGTAATATTTTTTTATGTTTATCAACATTTTCTTTAAATGAATGGTATCTATAGCAAAAAGAACGAAACCGTAACAATACTTATTGCTTTGATTTATCACGACTGGAACGCCTAACGCCGGAAGAACTTTATAATATTGCCATGGCAAATCATCTGGTGAAAACATCTGAACACATGAAAAGCCTTCGAAGCTGTAACTCAATGTTCGATTCAAATGGGAAATATTTTTATTACTACAGCATCCAACGCCTCCAAGTAAACTCAAATATAGTAAAACAAAACATAAGAACATATTTAACTGATTCATGAGTTAACAGTAAAATACTCCGTCACTACCATATCAACTTCCGTAACTGACAATATAAGTTACGACGACAGCGATTGAAATAAAAATGGTTTCTTTAACAAGGAAACAACTTCACCAGTTCGATTAATGAGGCTCTCTACATAACAATAGTCAGTAATGAGGAATGCAATCAACAAAGAAAAACTAAGATAAAACCAAGTGATATTATTATTTCCGTAATGAATGAAACAAAACTAGAATGTCATGGAAACCCACACCTCATCGATTTGAAAACGCTGACAATGACGGACTCATTTACTTATAACGGACTTATTTATTTATTGTAATAAAATCATTCCTAAAGTCATGAGTTGAGTCTTTATGGGCCCCAGGCAAGCCAACATCTTCAACAGGACTGTTTTATAGCCAGGAGAGTAGAAAAGTACCTCCGGTAGGGCTGAATCTACATATGTAAATACCAACGTAAATCGTTTTTTATTTATATTGATTGATAATGGAAATAGTAATTCGGTATATATTTATATATATACATATATATATATATATATATATATATATATATTGGTATTGCACAAGCTTATTAAAACCTTCTGGGGAAAAAACAAAACTGGCGTAATATTATGGGATAAGAATGAGGTAGAAGTCAGATTTTTGGCGTTCCCGGATTTTGGCTCTTATGACAGCAGTGGTGCCCAGAAGGGGGATTTCATTTCGCATGTTGTAGCATACAAATTTTTGAGAGGGGCACATTATGATGGGTTGATAAGAAGAAGGCAAAGAACAGAACACTTAAAGTACAATTATATATGACCTTTGTTTTTAAAATTTTACTATAGCTTGCACTGTTTTTAAGAAGAGAAGAGCAATAAAATATTTTAGGAGGAGAGAATATACAGGAGGGAAGAAGGTTTTTGCACCATCCACCTTGAGTGGGATGGCCATCCATGTATGGCATAATGTGGAGAAAAAGTAATAGAAGAATTACAGGAAAGTGGCGTTAAAAATATTCAAGAACGAAATAATGACCAATGATAAAATTAAACTGAAAATAGTTAGAACAAAATATTGAGAAATAAAGAGGGAGAAACAATTTAAATATTTAGAAGAATAAGTAAATTACAGTTTCAAGGGGTAGGAAATTAATAAAGATTAGAGAAGAAAAAAAAAATAGATTCACAACAAAATATACAGATCCGATTATAATAGAAATGCAAACCCATGGTCGAAATGTATTAGATATATAAAAATGTACACATTTAATCACAGGACCGAACATTCTAAACTCACAGGACCGATCACGAACATTAATGACCAAAATTCCTTATCAACACTTTTTTCTCTCTGGATCTGCTGCATATTGTCAATAAAAATGTAACACAGATTCTAAAATATAAAATTACATCTTATTAACATTTATCAGCCCCGAAGTCTTATTTTTCAAACAAAATTTGAAAGTGGTGATAACTGGTACACTTGCCATTTTTACATTTTCAGAAAGAGAGGTGACTTACAATACTAACAATTAGTATTAAACGTGGCCTATAGTTATAATTAAATTTATTTCAAAATTTTATACTTAGGTCAGGGGTGCCCATCCTCCCCTCCTCCTTCCCAAGCTCAATAATCCATGAAACATCTCCCAGTCAAAATGTGCTCCCTCAAAAATTTTGATGGCACAACTTGCACCATAAAACACGCTTCTGGGCACCCCTGACTTAGATGGTAGCTGATAGTTTTATAGTTATAGGTAGTAGTCCTATTTATAATTATTTAAGAGAATATGGTACAATCAACAGGTTGCCAATTTCTTAAAATTCTTCATAATTGATACCATTATCAAAGTTGTATGCAGTCCTTGTCCATTCAATGTGTTAAACTTTTCCCACACAAACCTGGGCAACTTCATGCCGAGATGGAAGCTTGATAGGTTAAATGGAACCATGTAACACTACATCTGGTTCATTTTCTACTAGAAGCACAAGAAAAACATTTAATGATCATCTATTCAGCAAGTAAGTTATTGAAGAAATCATTTGAATCAACCACTGTTTTCGCACCAATACTTGCTCTTATGAAATATTATTTCAGCCTAATACATCCTATCTTTAACGAACAGAATTTGAAAGCAAACAAGGTATAAGTAAATACATTTCTTCACCAGAAACAATTAATTAATGATTCAAAGATACCTTCCCAAAATGAAAGTATTAAAATTTAACAGAAAAATTACAATGTTTATGAGAATCACTCCCGATGTTAATAATATATATTTAAATATCTTGAAGATAAGGTAAAACTCAAAACATTTATTCAATTTGCATAAAATGGATGATAAATAATATTGAAAAGGAATACCCTGTTCATAAATTAAATAAAAATTACCATTATATAAGTTTTAGAACTTTCTAATGCTATAAAAAGATGCATTGTTGTAGGCCGATTCAGAAAAAAATTGGAATAAGGATCTTGAAGGCACTGTTGATCACGGCCATCTTTAATTCTTAGATAAATAAAATGGATTAACACAAACTTCCATACATGAGACATATCCTAAAATCTGTCTTTTCCACTCAGTTAAATCATTTCTACTGTTCAATCTATATTATTTTCATTCAAATTTAACAATCTTTGAGAAACTGAATTATTTGACAAAACTAAATGCATAATTATTAACAAAAGTTACATTCAATAATAAATTAAAGAAATCCAAAATATGTATAAAAAATATTTGTTCAGTAATATGGTTTCATATAGAGTGCACAAAAAGTGATACTAGAGATTATAAATAAATTCTTTATACCCTTTCTTAATTCCCCCTATCACTAATTTTTATCATATGGGATTTCAGCAGCAGTGGAGCATTGCACCTGGGATGTACTTGAACCCCTGTCACCAATAAAATTCATATATTATTATTTTTTCATTGATTACATGCCTTTAGGATGTATTTAATTTGGGAAAGGGTAATGTAGTTACATATAGCGTTCACCTCATTGTTAAGTCTACATATAACTCTCTTCTTTTAACTTCCACGTTTTTTGTTCCTCCATGTCACAATATGTTCAGCTGAATGTGAAACTCTAGAGATGGGACACAAGAGCAACGTACTTTGAATACTTCTTCAGCGCACTTCGGACAGCCAGTCAGGTTTTGCGAAGACCAATATTTAGGTTGGATTCACTAGTCTGCCAGTCTGGAGAAGATGGTAAGGAAATGGTTGAACGTTTTTGATAGAAAATGTACTGTTCCACTTCTCTAGTCAGTCCTCCCTCAACATCTACCATCACCTTGGTTATATTCATTTGGCTCCTGTCATTAATTTGTCACTATCTCACTAATCTCAGGTTTTCTTTATTCCTAATTTCACAATCTACCTTTAACTATCTTTCACTGTTCCTCAACAGGAAAGATCATTTACAGCACTATAAATTTTTCACAAGTTATCAAAAAATAAGTTTGACATATCTTTCTCAGTAACAGCCGATTACCAAATATATAAATAAAAAAAATACACATAATTATAAATAACAAAAGTATATTGATTATAAATAAATAAACATGAAAACATAAAAATCAACCGTATCCTAAAATACATTATACACATCCTTAGGATTAATAATAAATGAAGTGGATCCCAAATTAATTACTTTTATATAATAAATTTTCAACATAACAAACAGCCATATTTTTAGTGTTCTGACAATACCTCATATTTGTACTATTGACTAAATTAGACCATTTAGTTACCATTTGTTCCAGTTTTTACCTGCTTGGTAATTAATTAAAAGTCATAATTAAAATTTAATACTAACATCAATAAAGATAGATTATATTATTAGATAGAAAACCAAATGTTATATATGTATAACTTAAAAACAGTTCTTTTTTTTTTAACCTCTAAAAAAATTAAATTCCAGATAAAAGGTATAGATAGATAATTGACAATATTCACATTCTAGTTTTAATCAAATTATTAAAATATAATAATTTGAAAGCAGCTGAGGTATCAAATCATAATTAATAATATATATTCTTCATGATGATGCAATGTTTCTCATTTCTCTTATCGCAGCCACAAGCCTCGGTGAACAGCCAGCACTGCCAGCTTGATAAGCATCTGAGGGGAGTTTAAGGAGGACTACCATTTGTGCAAGAGTTTCAGGTAAAGTCTGTCCAAGATCTTCAAGAACGTTACCTAAATATGCTGAAGAAGAAAAAAATGCAGATTTACGTCTTAGCTATGGTGTAAGCAAATGAACATGACAAGAATATAGTAATTGTATTGGCAATTATAGACAACTTATTAAACATAACTTTTTTATGATTGTAAAAATATAATTTTTAAATTAAAATAGCCTATTCCATTCCAATTTATTTAAGGAGTACTTTTTAAAAGAATGTTTTCTGTCTCAATTTCTTAACAGGATAACTAACCCAAGTATACTGCTGCTGGACCATAATCATTATTGAAAATTGGATATTTCTTTTTTTACTCCTATACATTCATTCAGTGTATATCTAAGAACATACACTTTCATATAACTTATGGTACAAAACAGTTTACTACCATTTGTGCATTTTTTTTTCAAATAAAATTCTGAATCTATTGTTTGTTTGTTTTTTAGCCTCTTTTCTGAAAAGTATGTTATATACATAAATTAAAAATGCTTCAAGGAGAAGACTTTAGCCAAGTTTCATTAAAATCATTAGTTGTTTTGGCACAACATTTACAGCAATACACATTTTTCGGCTGGCATTTCAAAACCAAAGGCCAGATGAAAATGAAATGTATATAAAAACACTCCTGAATTTGTTGCAATCGTATAAAAATTTCAAATCAACCGATGAAGAACTTTTAAGAGATTAGTGGTTTCAAAAAAACGAACATTTACAATTTTATTAATGTACAATATTTCCAACAAAAAAAAATTTAAAAACACTTAAGCTCATCAATGGCTTCTAAACAAAAACAAAAAAACGGCAGATAAACAGAGAAGAAAAAGAAACCGAACTGTTTTGTCTTTACCTATTTATATATTGATTTTTAAAATATACATATATACTTTTCATACAAAATTTTTGTCTTATAGAAATATTTGAGGTAATTCTCTAAACTTTTGATACCATTGGAATAAATTAATATAAAATTCAAATTGTAATATGTAACAATTTAAATGATGAAGTTCTTACCGATGTCCACAGCTATCTGCTTAGCAGTATTTGGAGTGACATCTTTGGTGTTTAAGATGAGATCTGCTAATGACGAACAAGTCTGCCTACACACCCGACCCAATAACTGAACTGCAGGACTGTTTCCCTCTTCCTTCAAAAATGGTTCTAAGTGCTGAGGCAATGTCATTAAATATTCCCCTATCTAAAAAAAAAAGTTTGCTTCAACGAAGTATGCCACAAAACAGTTTCTTAAAATTGTAAAACTTTAAACTAATTCAAATACAGAACTGTCTTAATAATCCGAACCCTTTGTAATCCAAAACTCCTGATAATCCGAACAAGAATGAAAAAAATTAAAGATGACTGAGGAGAGATGGAATGGAAATGGCTCTGGTTCTCAATACAGATTACTGGAATTGCTTTGTGTGGTAGCGTCAAAATCATATTGTGATATCTCTAAACAGAAAAATCTGGTATAGTACGCTCATCGCACAACTTTCATTTACCACCCATTTCGTACCAGAAATATGTTTTTTTCAGACAAAGGAAAGTGAAAGTAAAAACTATACACGGTGGGCAAGACCCCCATACCGCGCACCCTCCCCCTCCCTCTCATCTCTATAAATTGCATATCGTTGTGTTTCTTGTAACTATTTATTTAAAGAAAAGCCAATGTTCCTGGAAAAAAAGTGAACGAAATGCCCAAAAATGGTGTCCAAATATGGCAGACTGACCACTTTGACTTTAGTTAATTTTTTGATCGTTGAGAATCAGAATTTGTCTTAATTTCATCATCACTGGCCTTTTATTAAACCTGGAGAGTCAGAGAATAATAAAAAATAAAAAAATATTCAAAAATAATTGGCTTAGGCAATAAAAAACACCAGCAAAGTGAATTTTTCCAATTACCAAATTTTCAAGTTGAAAATCAAGCGCTATTTGTAATTAAACGGCCAACAATAACGGAAAACATGCTAAAATAGAAGATCTGGAGAAAATATTTCTCTTTCTAAAACACTGATTACTTTTTAAAATATTTGAAGCGGTTCCATAGAAAATGCTCTTAATCGGCAAAAAGGTGGTACTGGCGTAGGTGCCTACAGACCTCTGCCACATCATTCAGTACCCACAAAGGGCATAGTTATAGCGCTATAATAATTGTTTTCTTTTCTGAGACATTGCCAATTCCTTCCTCATTCGTTTAAGGTATTTTTTCCAATTTTTGGGTTAAATTTCATGTTTTCCCTCATTTCGAGACCAAATACTAACAATTAGTTCTGGTCACCAGGAAGATCATATAGCTTCGCCCTTTACATCTTTCTTTATGCAGAGAGAATAAATCATTCTATATTAACATTTACTATTTTTTTTTATATGGCTTGACTTCCGAAAAAAATAAAAAAATTAAATTAATTTTTTTATTAGTGACATATGAGTTTTACTAAACAACCCTGCAACTATTCATTACATGTAGTTCAGATTAGGTATATATTTTAGTTTATAAAACAGGTATTAATAAGACTCATTTCCGGGAAAGTATATCCAATTTAACTTACCTCTAGATATTCAGCGAAATATTTTTTAATTAAGTTTTATTATTATAATTATATCATCTTTACAATAGAGACCATTTTAAACGTTCTTCGTATAGAATAAAGGAAGTGATATTTTTTTTTATTTTTTTTTTACTATTAAATTATTGGATTAATATTTGTTCGTTAATACAATCCATAGAATGTACCAAAACTGTTATTATAGCACTATGCCATTTATGAGTACTGAATGATGTGGCAGAGGCCTGTAGGCACCTATGCTAGTACCGCTTTTCCACCAATTAAGAGCATTTTCTATAGAACCGCTTCAAATATTTTAAAAATTAATCAGTGTTTTAGAGAAATATATTCTCCAGATCTTTTATTTCAGCATGTTTTTCGTTATTGTTGGCCGTTTAATTACAAATGATGCTTGATTTTCAACTTGAAAATTTTTTAGTCGGAAAAATTGACTTTATTTAATATTTTTTCATGTTTTCTTATTGTCTGACTATCCAGCTTTAATAAAAGATCAACTATGATAAAATTAAGCCAAATTCTGATCCTTAGTGACCAAAAAACTAACTAAAGTCAAAGTCATCAGTCCGCCATGTTTGGACGCCATTTTGGGACAGTTCGTTCACTTTTTTTTGTGGGACCATTGGCTTTTTTTTAATAAATAGTTACAAGGAACATAACGATATGTAATTTATAGGGATGTAGGGGGAGGGGATGCATGGTAGGGTGATCTGGCCCACAGACTATTATAGTCGGTACGAAATAATAGTTAAAACAATTAATGACCATATCATTATTGTTAGTGCAAATTTTAAGTACGTTTTTTAATATTATTTTTGGTTTTACTGCAAAATTTTGTTATACCCATTTCATTTTTCATCATAGGCAAATCATAGAAACGCCATTAAGGGTTAGTAATGTTTATGTATAACTGATAATATATATATTTTCTTGTGCAACTTGTGCAATTTTTCAATCATTTTAAATTTAACCTTTGATAATCTGAACAGGCTATGGAAAAGACGGGGTACTACTGAGTAAATATAATTTGCTAAGATATCCCCTTTAATAACAATTAATTAATTTTATTGTATAAATATGAAGAGAGAATAACCACTTGAATTTGTATGAATTGTATTTGTCTTATTTTTAAGCAATTTAAAGATAAAATTTAAAACATACAAAATTTTCTTTTAAATTATAACATCATTGTTACAAAGCATGATTCATTACCTGAGTGATATACTCAAGTGGAGCATAACTGTAGTCAGGGAGCTGGTGAGATAGACTGGCTGATGAACCCCACGATGCTCTCGACAACTGAGAACGGATCGGGGTAAACATCACATCTAAGCAGCATCCCGTTACCCGCTCAGTGACTTTAGAGAGTTTAGACTTAACCCCTTCCACAACAGAAGATTTATTACCTAGAATCAGTATTGATATGTTATTGTCCCGTAATTTGTTAACTATCAAGATTACAGCATCAGAAATATATAAATATTCTATCATTTGTTATCAATGAATAAGGGAAATTTTAATAATTGAAGTATACCTTCTTTGAAAGATTTCATAAAATAATTATATTGTTCCAGGGCTCCTTTAGTAAACATCACTTGTCTTAAATCGATTTCTAATTTTTTTTCCTTTCTCAAAGATTTTTCTAATGTTTGTATTAACTCTCTGTCTAATTCTTCAATTGTATTTTGAAGTTCACCTAGAAGAAATTGAAAAAATAATAAACGATCATTAAAAAGACCAATTTATCGAGTAATTAATGTTTAGTAACTTATTCATTCAATAATTATTTCAGCAAATTACAAAGTTAATTATAGCTATAACATCTAAAGATTTTCAAGTTAAGAAAATTAAAATTTAATCAATTAGAAGCCAGCAAACTTTTTTTTTATATCTGATTGTACCAACCGCTATTTTTTAAAATCTTGAAAGAGGCTGGACCAAAAAAGTTGAGAACCTGAGATATAAAAAAATATAGCCTCAAAAAATACTTCCTTTAACAGAATAACTAAATCTACAAGTAATATACATATAACATATATAAGTAACTACCTATATTTAATAGCAAACTCAGGCAAATTTGAAACATAGACCATTCTTCTTTTGATTGTTTCTTAATTTCTATTTCTCTTAATACGTTTTCATATTGTTCCAAATGTTTTAATATTGAAAACTGAAAAAATAAATAAATAATATGATAAATAAATGATAAACTATATAAGCTTTTAAGTGAGTAAGCTAATCTTCTAATGTTTCTTAAAAATTCAAACTGACACATGCTACTTGAATACTCCTTCTTTATTCCTTCCATTACAATAAGTTATTTAGTTATGCCAATGAAATTGATGTCTTTCTTCTAAAATCTGGTAAGTGTAACCCACTTGCTAAGTACTTACAAGATTTTGGAGGTAAGCCACCAACCTATTCATCTCTAAGATTATTCAAGGAGTTTATGAACTCATCTCTCCCATAAATATTTGTTTTATTTTCCTATCAATTTATAATTATCTATTGAGTAAAATATATTTCCACTTCTGTAAGCGAAAATGAGATGTAATTAGATAAAATACCTGTACAGCCGATATTAAAGCAGGAAGACCAAGACCGGATGTGAATAATTCACATCTTTTTACAGCTTCTGAAACTCCAGACACAAGAGATTGTCGCTCCCTTGTAAGCACTCTCACACTCTCTGACAAATCTCCTTCAAGCGAAGTTACAACAAGTTGCCTTTCTTCTAGCCTTCTATAGGCAGATACCCAATTACGATATATAACATACACTGAGTGTAAAACATCCCTCCAGCATTCCGGAGTTTCATCCTCTGAAAGAAATATTAAATTTTTACTCAAGTGCAAAACATACATTACACAAAATTCGAAATAAAAAAGGAAACAGAAAAATTAAAATATTTCTTCTCCCTTCTTGTATTTAAAATTAGATTAAAAATTTCACTAGGATTTGACTGATTGAAAAGAATGTAGAGCCAATTATTATCCTATGAAATGAGTTAGACGAAATGGTATGCTGTACTAACTTAAAATTGAATATTATGTTTGTAGAGTAAATTAATGTTCATAGCATGTTCCTATTTCAAATATTAAATGAAATATAGAATAAGAAATGGGTTGGAAATTGTTAATACTACATTCCACCGAGGAGACCTACAAGAGTGAGAAGAGAGTATTTAATATGATCAATGTTTTACCATACATAAAACACCTTAATGTTCCCTCAAGTCAATACTATGCTCATGGAATCATAATGGATCGATCAAGAATTATTCCTTGGTTTTACCATGAAATATAAGTCAAGTGCTTGAGATTCCAACAAGTGCTGCTTTTTATTCGAGAATATATATTTTAAAGCACAACTAATATTGTGTGAAGTTGTCGTTTTTTTTTTTTTTTTTTTTTTTTTTTCTTCCTTACCTCACCTTTTAGGCTATACAGGGTGCTTGTTGTGGAAGGGAAGGTGGGGGATTAATGGCAGAGTTAAAAGCCTCCCCGGGAACGCGAACTTGTAATTATTGTCTCCAACTTCAGTTATCAGGTTGCCAGGTAACATGCGGTGCTATACACAGGACGCCCCTGGCATCCCACCCCTTCTAAAGAGGCATATCAAAATACAATGTTTTCTAGATTATCAACGGTTCTCTGTAGTGATATTAAAAATTACCACTATATTTATATATAATATTTCCCTCCCCCCCCCTTGATATATGAATGATAAAAGACAAACCATGTTGTGCTAAGGCATTCTTCAAATCAGATATAAAATTATCGGATAACGATCTTAAAGCCACAAGTTGCGATATCTGTTCTCCTTCTTGTCTGATATAGGTATCGACAGTAGTTGTTATATCTTTCTCTAGAGAACTGAGAGCATCTGCAATAACACCCATAACCATTTTACTAGAATCAAATACTGATGTGCACCACTTTACCTGAAAAATATTACAATAAAATAATGAATCAAAGATAATGACTCAATAGAAGCAAATAAACTACAATCAATAATTTTAGCTCATATAAAAAACAACAGACATTGCATTGCCAACAGTTCATTCTGAGAAACAGTATTAAGAAAAAAATTATTGAAATTGCAGTTGCAATCACTAATGGTGATAACAATTTATTTACCTACCCTTTTCATGTTCATTGCAAAAGTTACTGCTATAAGTAGCTTGTTTTATTCCATGATTATTTTGATAAATTAACTGCCATCTACTGGTTTCTATGAAAAATTTTTGGTGCATATGGGTTAGGTTGCATTGAAAAATATGAGCTCAAACTATTAAAGTTCAGAATTTCATTATACCATTTATAAATTTTAATTCATCTAATTTTTTCCGTTAAATAAATGATAGCATTTTCATAAAGTAATACATTAATAATAATAATAATGTTTTATTTATTCTGGGACAAGCCCTTTTAGAATAATGTAAAGGGATAGAAATGTGAGCTTCGGAGCCACAAAGAATAATTATAAAATAAACAGATTTATATAATGAATAAATAAAAGAAAAGAATATTATTTACCTCAAAACTTCAATAACAGAAAAAAAGTTAAATTAAAGTATTTAAAACAAACTAATTATTTATACATATTTACAACATCTATTTATAATTTTATGAGAACCGAACGGATAAGAGGTGATTGAACAGATGGGTGATCTAAAGGTGGGGATTTAAGGTGAGGAGGCTATTGGAGTGATGGATGTAGGATGGGATAGAATTCCTTAGGAATGTGGATCAAAAAATGAAAGATCTGTCAAAAGCAGATCTTGTATACAAATCTGAAGACCGGGAACAGAGAATTTGAATTGAATACATTAATGACTTTTGATTAGAATAATTATTCTAATAACAAACTGAAACTTTTATATTAATAAAATGGCCTTTAAACTTGAAGTTTAAAATTATAAAGGAATAATATGTATTCAGTTCAACAGAATACATATAAACACTTCAACAAAAATATAATATACCTGTGTATGATACTCCAATAATAGGTCTTGATAGAATTGACTAAGCAATTCCTGTATTCCTCGATCTTGATCGACATCGACAATGTTTTTCCATTTCTGGCAAAGGAAACTTTTTTCACACTTCACATAATACTTAATAAGCTGAGGTAATCTTTCTATTCCAGTAAATATTTTAACATATTTAACAGATTCCTCTGAAATATAATAAACATGTATACAATTTTATATATTGTAATTGAGATTAAGGTTGTAATAGTATTTCTATTAAACACAAAGCCTCCAGCAATGATTGTACTTTAAAATAAAACAGACAGAATAAAGTTGTATTCAGAAAAACTATTAGGGCCTTAATTAAGGTTTTTTAAGGCTATCCAGGAATCTACCTATTTTTAGGTAGAAATAAGGCCATCAAACGAAGTATATGACAACCAGAAGGGGCTATATCTGATGAAAATGGCAGGTTCTTGATATTCAATATTAAAATCATTATTTTTGAAGCAGGAAAACCAATCTCTACATGTCATTTCCAACAGATCATGTTCATTGTAAGACTGTAAAAAAAGCAGTCATTGGCAAAAAGTGGCAGGATCTACACCCACATCATGACCCAAGTGACAGTCTCAGCCGAAAGGAGCAAGTTTTACTCATTAGAGTGGGAGCTGATAACAGGATGAAAGCTCATCTTTAAGAGAAATCAAGCAATGGAGAATTTTCACTATATGGATGAAGAACAGAAGACCAAAACACTATGAAGACCATGAGTTGGAGGAAGACGAAGGACCTGACCAAACCCAACAAACTTAAGGACTAAGACAATCTGGAGAATCTCAAAAAGACATTGAGTTAACAATTATAATACAGTAATCTACTTGTATGAACATCTATACAAAATATTCTTGACTAAATAAATGAATATAATTTTTTTACCATATTTTTATACTGTTTACTATTTTTTTCAGCAATATGTTACTTTATAACTACAATTGTAATGTTATTTTAGGGCTCTTGGCTGGTTAAAACACTGTATGATGAATTGTACATAGCTGTAAAATAAAACTATAGAAGGCTATATATAAATCAATAAAGCTATTTTAAATATCAATAGTATAAAAAATACTTCAATGTTCAAAGTAATAGCAACTAACCAACATTTTTGTTTGTGAATGCATTTACAAGATGTGGACTGGCCATTGCCTCTAATCTATTCTTAAATCCTTCTAACTGTATTTTGCGTTGTTCATAATCAGTAGAATGAATTAAAGCAGGGAGTGATTGTTGCATACTCATTACTTTTTCTGCAATAGCTTCAATTTTGTGTGATTCAAAAACCTAGAAACAATAATAATAATATATAACATAGATAAGTAACATAAAAATTGGTAAGCTCCAACACAAAACTTAAACCTACTTCCTCAATATCTGAAGCAAGAACGGTCCAATTATCGGCTTCGTGTAGAGCTTGTTTAGCAGTGTATAATTCCGTTTTCATTTTGTCTAATTTTTCTAATGTCTCCATGGAAGCTGCTGTGTCTTTTTCAATCTAGATAAAGAAAATTATACATTTTTTTTTTTTTTATATATATTTGTTGGCCTTAAGCACGTCGACCCCTGCTGGGTCCATTGTGTGCCAATTTCAGTAAGTCGTTTTGTTTAAAACGTTAATCCTGTCACTTCCGGGTATCTAAGTAGGCTGGTTGGATTGACCGACTCATGTCTTCTGGGGAGATCCATCTGTTCCTCCCCAAATACCACCAGTCTCAGCCTAATAAATCTATCACATCTGCATATGATGTGAAAAGCAATAAATATTATAATGTGAAATATTATTAAATATTTGTTTTATTATTAATGAAACCATTTAACAATTCAATAAATAAATGTAAATATTTTATCTATAGATAATAAATATTGTGTGAATATTTATATATATATAAATATTTTGTATATATATATATAATATTTATATATATATTTATATTATTCGAGCAGGGGATTCCAAAAAAACTAGTAAATCTAGTCAGGATGTGCTTGACGGAGACACTCAATAAAGTTAGAATCGGTAATAATTTGTCCGAAAAATTTGAGATTCGTTCGGGCTTCAAACAGGGGGATTCTCTTTCGCCTGTCCTGTCGAATTTGGCATTAGAACATGCCATTAGGGAGGTAATGCGAACCGAGAAAGGGTTGGATCTGGGCGGGACAACATTCGTGCTGGGCTATGCTGATGATCTGGTACTGTTAAGTGAAGATGTTGAAACTATAAAACTAAATACGACAATGTTAATGAAAGCCAGTAAAGAACTAGGACTCGAAATAAACGTGGATAAAACAAAATATATGGTTAGCTGCAAAAATGGCGATACTGCTGGTGATATCGATATAGATGGTAATATGTTTGAACAGGTAGATAAATTTAGGTATCTAGGTTCTATGATAACTAGAAAAAACGAAATTGAAGAAGAGATTAAGGTTAGACTGAAGGCGGGAAATGCTTGTTATTTTTCTGTGACAAAACTACTTAGTTCGCGCCTCTTGTCCCGGAACTTAAAAATTAGAATCTATAAAACAATTATCTTGCCTACAGTTCTTTATGGATGCGAAACTTGGCCGCTTACATTAAGGGATAAGCAGCGTCTTAAGGTTTTTGAAAATAAAGTATTGCGTAGAATATTCGGACTGAAGAAGGATGAGTTAACCGGAGAGTTCAGACGGTTACACAATGCCGAATTGCGTGAGCTGTATCCAGGTAATATAATTGAGGTAATTTCATCGCGGCGAATCAAATGGGCTTGTAAAGTTTTTGGGCTTAGTAACGAGAGAATTCCTAAAAGGTTAATATTTGCTGTGTCGAATGGTAAGCGTCCGAGGGGTAGACCAAAGCGAAGGTAGGAAGATTGCATTAAAGCCGATCTGAAGGGACTGGGTTTGGACGGCGAACGGTGGAGGGAGGTGTGTAACAAGCAATTGGTGGTGTCGGCATCAAACCTTCGGGTTCGCTAAGCCTTATTATTATTATTATATAAATATATAAATATAATGGACCTAATCTATCTGCACCAATATTTCTCCTATAGAAACATGTCTGTTTCACATTTTTGCTTCAACTACTTCCCAACTTCATCAATATATATTACTGATATATTTTAATACTAAGTATTGACATGTGTTAATAGTAAATATGTAAAGACCGTACTTATTTGTCATAAGTATATATATGCGTTGATTTTTGATAAAGATTTTCAGTATTACTTCAGAGTATTCAGCATATAGAAGATTATATAATAAGAATTATGAATACAAAATAACATGAAAAATTTGCCTTCATTATTTCTTCTTTTACTAACTGCATTTTTTCTTTCAACATAAGGGCTTCCTTCAGGATCATATCTGCATCATGCATGACTCTTGGCAAACTTTGAATAACCTAAAACAGAATTAACAACTAAACATTATTAGATTTAAGAGAAAAAGGAAACACCCATAATTGATTTAGAGGAACCAGAATGTTTCAAATCACATGGAGAAAAAAATAAAGAAAATTAATGTTCTAGTCATATCTTTTAGGTTTGCTGCCATCTTTTAAATGTTTAACGTACATCAACAAACTGACATACAATATCATAAAAATCATTTAAAAAATTAGACATAGACGATTTCAAATTTGCACTCAAACCAGACATCCTATACAAAACTTACTGAGGAAAACAAAGGACCCAACACCTATCCAAAACAATAGAAATTTAATTTATGATATCCCATCGACATATCCCATATAGAAATGACAGCGACTGATATAAAAAACAGATATAAAAAATATATAACCACAAAAGTACTCTTAAACCTAATTCATAAACAGTTACCGTTTTATCAAACCATGCAAAAAACCATAGACATAAAATAGATTTCGAAAATATTAAAATACTTCATAAATCAAACTACCGATCAAAACTAAAAATGTGTTTCAGCGTTCATATAAAGTGGCACTTCCGGTTAGCCGATTTTAACAAAAAAGTTGCTGTAACATCCGGTCCATATAAAAACCTTAAATACTTAGTATCAGTTTTGTACTACTTTTTGTTTATGAGCTAGACTGTTAACACACACACACACAGACACACGAACACACAGACCATTTTGCGACACTTGGTAATTTGGACTCAGGGGACCTCAAAACATGAATTTCCGTTGAAAACTGAGATTCGAAAATTTTTACGATCGCAATACTTACCCTTACTATATATTACATATATACGTAAGTGAAAGTAAAAATTTTAGAATCCATTTATATAGAAATAAACGAAAAAAATGTGTTAAATTCAAAACAGGAAGCATCCCCACATCCCACAACACTATTCACAAATAATAGCCATCCATAAAAATTCAAATAATAGTAAATTAAATAAAGTAAGGTAACTTTGATTATTAAATAGTTGCGATAATATAGAGGGTGCTGACAGTAAATTCTCAGCACTTAATAAGATAGTGTTCGACAAAGGGGAATCCTATTCTCGGAGAAAGCTGGCATGAGACGAAGAACAAGAACTATGTTCTTATCCGTTAGGTTTTATAAATATACAAAAATAATAAAAGGTATGGCATGATCTGATAATAATTGCATGACATTTCAAAAAATTATATAATATATATATTGCTAATGTTATTAATTAACTGTTAATTTATCCTAATTAGAATATTATAATTATAGAAACGTATCTAAATATTTAAATATAATAGCAGTTCTAGAGTTATTAAACTACACTAAATATATTCTAGGTAATAAACGTATCTTTGAAATATTTTTATATTTCACTTCTTCTTTCATACAAGTAAAATGAAATAGTAGTGGGTACTGTAGAAATATCACAAAGGGGAGATTCATTAAATTATACACTAATTTAATTTTCTAAAAAGTTACAGGACAATATTTTGGAATAAACGGACGTTGATACCTAATTATTTAAATATAATATCAGATTTAGAATTATTCAACTACAGTAAATGTATTTAAGGTTATAAACATATGCTTTATACATCCATGAAATGATTTTGCTCTCAGTGGAACCTGTCCACTAGGGAGCGAGTCCCCCGGGTGGCGGATGGGGGATCCCTCTTAGGAGGGTCGGTCTGAATATACAGAATAAAGACCTGTGGACCAACAGGTACCCAGTGCTGGGGGGTATAGCCCGGCCACCCTTTCTCCTGAGGGGACACAAATATTCAGGAGACCAGTTGTCCCGAGGATACGGGGCCTCCATCGCTGGGCTAATAACCAGCATGGTAGTATAATCTATTCAAAGTCACAAAACCAGCCTCGGATGCGGACAGATCTCACGGAAACGACCTGGCGCTCATATAGATTTATGATTTGGAAATTGGAATATAAAGACAATGACAGGAAAAGAGGTTGAGCTTGTGGAAGAGATGAAGACATATAAGGTGGATATACTTGGGATCAGCGAGGTAAAGAAGAAAGGAGTCGGTGAAATAAAACTGGACAGTGATTATGCCCTTATATATGCTGGAGTTCCTCAAGGAAACTTCGCGAAGGAAGGGGTAGGAATAATTATGACTCCAACAGTGTATAAACAAATGGAAGACTGGGAGCCTATCTCACCAAGAATAATTGCTGCAAATTTTGTGTTGGCCATTGGGAAAGTAACTTTAGTGAAGGTATACGCCCCAATAGAGGATGCAGGAGTCATGAATAAGGAAGCGTTCTATTCTGACTTGCAAGGATTGCTCAACAAAATAAAGTTGAAAGGACGATTCGCAATACTGAGTGGAGATTTCAATGCCAGAACAGGTTGTGATCCTTCTCCCATTTATTGTGCCCTCGGACTCCATGGAGGGAAAACTGTAAGAAATGGAAATGGACAACGCCTTATTGACTTCTGCAAAGACAATGATTTACTGGTGGGAAATTCCTTCTTTCCCCACAGAATAATACACAAAATAACTTTCTCGAGCCTGGAAAGAAACAGTATTATAGACTATTTCGTATATGGACGTGCCATAAGAAACTATTTTTCCAATATAAAAGTCATAAGAGGTGCTGAAATTGGCAGCGATCATCTGCTGCTAATAGCCGATACCAAAATTCCACATAAACGGCCAATTAAACAAAAGAGCTACCAGGTAGTCAATATAAGAGCTCTAGATGATCCAGAAAAGAGAACCTCCTATACCGAAAAACTGGAAGGAAAATTAAGAACCATGAGCAGAGAGGGTGGTGTAGAACAACAGTGGAGCTGCTTAAAATCATGCATCTTGGAAACTGCAAGAGAAGTTTTGCGGCTTGCGCAAAATATCTAATAAACAAAAGCACACAGAGTGGTGGAATGAGGAAGTACGATGTTTAGTTCAATCAAAGAAGAAAGCGTGGAAAGCTTATCTTCAAGATAAAACAACCGGAAAACTAGACGAATACCACCAAGCCAGAAATCAATGCAAAATAGCAGTCCGGCAAGCGAAAAGAGAGTCATGGGAAAGATTTGGAAAAAGTCTCGATGAAGATCACCAGGAAAGTATTAAGAAGTTCTGGCGTAAAGTAAAGCTATTAAGAGGAAAAATAAGTAAGCCAGTGAGAAATGTCAAAGACTCTAGTGGCAACATGGTCACCGAAGAAACGAAAATTCTTGAACGGTGGAAGGAGTTCTATCAGGGACACTTCTCAGGAGGAGGACACACTGATCCAGAAGAACATCTGGTAGAAAATAATACTCTGGAAAGTCTAGAAGTCATTGAGGAAGACGATATAGAATATGGCATCCAAAAAATTAAAATATGTAAAGCAGCGGAAAGGGATGACATAGCCCCCGAATTAATAAATTTTGGAGGACAGGAATTAATTAAATTTCTCCAACAATTCCTCCAAAAAGTATGGGATACAAAGATAGTCCCAAGGGATTGGGAGTATAGTGTAATTGTCCCTATTCATAAAAAGGGCAGCTCCACAGATTGTGATAACTATAGGCCAATAAGCTTACAAATTATACTCCTCAATCTTAGAAAGAAAATTAAGGCTCGTAGTTGAGAATCAAATTGAGAACGAACAAGCAGGCTTTCGTCCGGGGAGGCAGACTCATGATCACATTTTCGTGCTAAGACGCATCGCAGAGAAAGCATGGGACAGAGACAAGAATATATATATGGCATTTCTGGACCTCAAAGCAGCATTTGACTCTGTTCCAAGACAAGAAATATGGGATGCTTGGCGGCAAAAAATGTTCCAGGTGATCTTATCATGGCAATTAGATCAGTATATAAGGCAGCAAAAGGAATGGTAAGGATTAATGGTAGAGAGTCCAAGCCTTTTCCCATGGAGAGAGGAGTCAGGCAGGGAGACAGCCTAAGTCCCCTCTTGTTCATCATATTTATGGATGAAATCCATAAAATTTGTAAGCGTCGTACTGCTTGGACGGTCGTCGGAAAATGGAACCTGCGGAATATTATGGTCCAAAGCCTACTATATGCCGATGACATCGTTCTGATTGCAGACACGAAAGACAAGCTGCAGCAGGCCCTTGTAGAATGGCAGGAAGAACTCCTCCGCAAAGGTATGATTATCAATAGCTCCAAAAGCAAAGTCCTAGTCATATCAAGAGAGGAACAAGAAGACGTCCAGCTGATCTGTAACGGGCAGGTACTTGAAGTTGTGCAAGAATTCACCTATTTGGGTACAATTATCAGCAACAAGGGGAAGATTGACCCAGAAGTAGCGAATAGGATATCCAAAGCCAATCAGGTATATTACCCTATCAGCAACACTATAGTAGGGCACAGGGAAGTTGGCAAGGAAACAAAAAGGTACATATTCAAGTCGGTATACCTCCCAACCCTCACGTATGGAAGCGAAAGCTTCCAGCCGAGATGAAGTTTCTGCGGAGAGCTGCTGGAAAGATCAGGAGAGACCGCCTCAGAAATGAACGCTTAAGAGAGGACCTGGAGATGGCGGAGCTAAGGAGTACTGGAAAACCGACAGTTGAAGTGGTTTGGCCACGTTTGCCAGATGGAGGAGAGAGATCCACGGAAGATTCTGAAAGCTCGACCTACTGGGAGGAGGCCGAGGGGACGCCCCATAATTTCCTATCAGGAATATATGCAGCGGATTGGAGAGAAGAGAGGCAAAACCCTCCAGGAAATGAGGCGGGTTAGTAGGGACCGAGAGGCATGGATGCATTGGATGAGGCTCCTCGACGCTAGTAATGGCACGAAGAGGAAGATAAAGAAGAAGAGAAGAAATGATTTTATATTTTACTTCTTCTTTCACATAAGTACAATGAAATAGTTTTTTAAACAATGCCATTTTCTTGATTAGGTGGATTTTAAATACTTTTTCAAGCTTAAAAATATTTTAAAATTGAAATTTAAATAAATTCTTTTAATAAATAGTATTCTTATATTAGAGTATAATATTTCTTACATGTTCACTGGTATCCTCAACAGCACCATTTATCTGTTGGACATATAACTGTAGCTTTGCAACCAAAGAAGATAAAAATACCTGTTGAAAATGAATAAATAAAATACATAGAATGATGTAACATACAAGAAAAAAACAGTATCTAATAAGTAAAAAATACTTAGTTTTGAAACATGGATTAATATAAATGGATAATCATATATGTATCTTAATAGAAGAGGATGGTTGGGGTGATCAGTCAAAATAATAATTAGCAAAAATAAATAATAATACAAACGTTGGCAAATGTAAAAATAAATATTATTACTTATTTTTGCTATTTGTTATTTTGGCTGATCACCCAAACCATCGTTCTCTTCAATTATTCACTACAGTCAACTATCAACCTACAATTATGTATCTTAATAGTGGATTGATGGTTGACTGTAGTGAAAATTGAAGAGAAGTGGGTTGAAGTGTTTAGTCAAAAATAAAAAGTAAAAATAAATATCATTTATCTATTTTTATTTTTTATTTTTGACTGAACAGCCCAACCAACTTCTCTTCTATATGTATCTTATATTTTCCATTTCCATCTATGTGTTCCATAGCAATAACTAAAATTTATAATACTGAAAAATATGTTTCCTTTAAAATAACTTTGCTTTGTGCAGTGTGAAACACTGCAATCATTCCATTTATAGTGTAATCATGAGATCTTGTGGCATCAATGGAAGGGGAGTGATATTCATACCGATTAGGCTAATAATCAAATTTGTAATAGCATCAAAGACACCTACAACTACTTTATAATTGTTACATCTGGTTGATAAATCAATGAGATCACATCAATCATATTCTACACAAAATCCTAAATGTATATAGAGACAACCTAACAACATGCCTCTTCTTAACCTTCTTAGAAATAAATTATGGAAGGTATATGATAAATTTAAAAGGCCTATCTTCACTGACAAGGACCTACACTAGTGAGGCCCCAATTTCAAATAACAAAATTCCATTGGAGTTTGTTTACCACTTCAAAAAATCACAAGCCCAAATATGAACAGCTGTTAATGTACAGTATAATCAATATGATGTTGACCTATCTATCAACCAAATATCTTATAAAATGGAGCAAGTTGTGCCATCGAAATTTTTGAGGGGGTCACATTTTGATGAGATTTCGAATTTTTGAGGAGGGCACATTTATATAGGGTTATGAATTTTCGGAGTGAAAAGTTTCAAACCAGAGATCTAGGAGGAAAACATGGGAGAGACCACAGCTAGTGTAATTGTGTATGATCCACGACTTTTCTAATTCTACTTTCACTTGCATTCTTTTTAAGAACAGGAAAACCAATAAAATTTCTGGGGAAAGGGAAGGGTTCATGAGCCATCAAACTTTGGGAGGGATGGGCACCTCTGTTGGGAGGTAAATAAAATAAAATGAATTAAAGAAGAATAAATCCAACAATTTAATAGCTAAGGGAATAAATACAATTAAATAAGAGCAATGGATATTTAACAAGCTCCTGTTCAACATGATAAATCTCAAAAATCAAATGTTTCTGTTATTAATGAAATACTTTTATTATATTACTTCTTTATTTTCTTGCGCATCTGGTGACTTAAATGTTTTATTAATCCATTCTTTTGAATCAAAGGTATCTTCAGAAAATGCTGATATATCCTAAAGAAAAAAAATAAGTGGTAAGAGTAAATACTACATTATTTTAAAAATAATCTAGTATCCATAAATTAACTTTTACCATATTTTTATAACTTGTAAAAATCGTCAACCATTGACATAAAAAGTCAAACCATTTAACCAAACACCAGTCAAAACATTTTTATTGCGGTGTAACCTTCTAGCAAACAGAAGAACCTTCCAAAGAGCTCTTATAAACAGTAAGTAACAAAGTTTTCAATAAACAGTAAGTACTCAAATTTTCATCACCGGATCTATAAAAATCAATTCGTTTTTAAGTAAAATAAATAGAGAAAATATATTTGGTTGTCATCCAAATTAGCAAATATTTCGCCACTTAGAAAGTGTTGAAGTGATCGAAATTAATGGAATCCAAAAGTGCAACATCGAGCGAATATGAAGGGTGAGGCGGTACCTCCCACCCCAATTCATTAATTTTTTCCAGGGCTTGTCTTACGCTGTACGATCTTGCATTTTCTTGTTGCAGAATAACGCATTTTCTGTTGACTATCGCTGGCCACTTATAAATTAAAAATTTATTTACACGATCCAATTGTTCACAGTTTTTACTGACTTTTGTCTGTAATCACAGGTTGTCCAGGTACCAGTACTTAAAAATGAACAACGCCTCGAATACTCCGCCAAACGCACAAAAGGGCCTTTTGGGGTGTAAACCTGGCTTAGCAGTACTTTTTGTCGATTAATTTGGATAGAACCACTGCCTTTTGCGTTTTGGAATATCACACACGACCCATTTTTCATCTGTTGTGATCAAGTGATCAAAAAATGCTTCTTTGTTATGCCGTTGAAACAATAATTTATATGCGGTGGTTTTCCAATCTGCTGAAAATCTTGGATGTTCGAACAAGGTTGGTTAATTCTCTAAAAGAAAAGTAAATATATTAATTGTTTTCAAAAATCACAATCTATAGTTATGTCGAAGAATATGAAAAGTAACTTTCTAAAATAACTGTAAAGACTAGTTGGCCCGTGCGAATAATTCGCAGAAAATTTTCTTTGGTGAAGGAATAGCAAAACAATATGGAAATAAGTAGATCCTATGCATTATATAAGGGAGGAATTAATTACTTTCCCTGGGTCGATTACAATTTTACATTTAACATAACAGACCAAAATATTTGTACAAATTGCTTTGCAATAACCTATTTTTAAACGCTGTCTGATAAAGATAAAATTCAAAATAAAGCCTCAATCATGGGAATTTGTAAAAACGAAAAAATGCCTATAAGAAATAACAAAGCATATATCAGCCAGGAAAAAAAAAAAGGTACTAGAATCTTTAAAGGGGGAGAAATTATTAAGTATACCAAAACTAATGGACTGTATCTTTGTTAATAATTGTCTACATTTTTGTTTTGTAGGTAATTTAGTAATCTTTCTAATAATCTTGGATATTGTCAAGAAAAAAAACATACTTTTTGAGTTATTCGCAAATAAAGTTTCTTTTCCATTATAACTTTTTTTTCCCAGGAATTTCGAGGGAATAAATCTATTTTTTGCACGTAAAGGAGAAGAATGCTTTCAAAATGAGTGGTTAATCATTGGATTTGATGAAGAATTTACGAAGTTATGGCGTACCGACATAAAAACACCTTTTAGAAATAATACATAAGATTGCAAAAACACGCTATTTATTTATTTTTTTTTAATTATGCCCAAATGTGACTGGATTTTTTAAATGAACCAAATCATATACCAGAGGTCTCCAGACCATTTGGCTTGCGGGCCACACTGAGCCCTGTACTAAGTCACGCGAGGCACGTTGAAAACTCAACTAAGTCACGCGGGACACGTTCAAAACTCAACTAAGTCACTCGGGGCACGTTCAAAACTCAACTAAGTCACGCGGGGCATGTTGAAAACTCAACTAAGGCCATGGCTTGTGATGAAAACAAAAAAAATTGTTTTATAAATGACAATTCATTTGTGAAATGAGCTTTGAAAGAGTGAAACAACTGATGCAATAAATGTTGTGGCAACCTCATATTTGAGTGATTTACTAAATTTCATATTTGTAAAATTTTACCATTTAATCAAAAAAACATTCGCGACATGGATCGGAGGTACTTTGGGGTCGGATCCTGCATCTTGCCTCTAATTTCATTTTTATAGTTTCACCTTCTTGTATCTTTCTTATTTTAATTCTTATTTTGACCAACACCTGGACCATCTCCTTTCTCCGTTTTTTTTTTTTAGTTAAAAAAATTATGATGTTTAGTTTACTAATTGATTTTCTAAAATATCTTTTGTGTTGCAGGACGCAGAAATTTCATTTATTTTTACTAGAACTGCATTTATATTAATTATTGAATCCAAAGTACAAAGGGATATAAAAAACACAACACATTTTTTCATATGTTTTTAACAGACAACAATGAAAATATAAGTTTTGTTGTTTTACAATTATGTGAATGAATATTAATATGGAAGACTTACGCTCTGAACTTGAAGGTTTAAGTGCCGACCAGCTTCACGATTTAAGAGATACAATAGACGAGGAATTGGAATGTTTGGAGCAATACTCAGACTGTTGGAATGAATTTAACGCTAAATATAAGATCTCTTTGGACAGTTTAGAAATGCTTAGAAAAATCAACGCTAACGACAATACAACTTTATTCAAACTAGGAAATCGCGTGTTTACGCATGGTAAATTAATCAAATCAAAAAATCTTTTGGTTTACTTAGGAGATGGATATTACGCTAAGATGAGCTTGAAAAATGCTAAAACATTCTTCGAGAGGAAGACTGAAAGTCTTTTAAAGGATTTCAAAGAATATGAAGAAGGCTATAATGATAAACAGTACATATATAAGTTACTTCAAGAGGCTTTAGCAAATAAGATCAGAGAAAAAATGGATAACTTTTTGGATGAATCACAAAATCAGCTACTGAACTCACCAAATCAAAATCCCGCAAACACTGAATAAAATAGTATTTATTCCTATACCTTACAAAAATAGATATTTTTTTGTCTAATAGCCTAAAATATATTTTGATTAATTTATGAAACTATTGTACAAAACAGCATAAAAGGGTGCAATTATAAAGCTAAAATTCGTCCCCACTTAATTATTTTTATGTAGTAATGATTTACTTCACAAATCAATAATTAAATTTACTACTATTAATTCAGTACTGAAAACAGCCTTTTCCTTATCTCAGCAGAGACATCGTTTATTGGTGTTACTAAGGATCCCAAATACGTAAACTGGTTCACCCTTTGAAATGTGTAAGGGCCAACACTCAGTGCCTCGTCGCCACCAGTCCCTGTGTGCATGTATTTCGTTTTATTCTCGTTTATGGCCAACCCCATGGCTGAAGTAGTGTCCATGAGTTTCCTAAAGGCTTCTACCAATGCTGATCGGGTCCTGGCCACGATATCCAGATCGTCAGCGTATCCCAATATCTGTACAGTACGGGTGAATATCGTGTGGTATGTTTGAATTCTTGAATCCCGTACAGCTTTCACCAGTGCACGATTGAAGAGGAGACAGGTCAGTCCATCCCCCTGTCTTAATCCTTTGTTGGAGGGAAATGCATCAGAGCAATCAGACTGGATCCGTACCTGACACCTTATATCTTTCATTGTCAACTTCATGAGAACTATCAGTTTGCATGGGATGCCCATTAGCTTAGGCACAACTTAGGTCGTTTGATACCGTCAAATGCACTCTTAAAGTCGAGAAACAGGTGGTGTGTAGGGATTTCATATTCATGACCCCGTTCCAAAATGATCCTAAGGGTGAATACTTGATCAACAGTGGATCTGCCTTTCCGAAAGCCAGCTTGATATTTCCCGTTTTCTCGTTCAGGGCAACGTTCCGGGCAATTTTCCACAAATAGGGTAAGTCTGCTGAAAAGGATATTCGAGAGGATCTTGTAGGCACAAGACAACAGGGCTATGCCACGGTAGTTCGTGCAATCAAGTTGGTCTCCTTTCTTATGGAGAGGACATCTTAAAGTATTAGTCCACTGTCGTGAGCCTCTTTCCTGATCCCAAATTGTTAGAACTATATCGGACAGTGCTCTGTGCAACTCATCTCCTCCATACTTGAAGAGCTTGGCTGGCAATTCATCCGTGCCCGGCGCCTTATTGTTTTTCATGCGAAGGATTGCATCCATTACTTCATCAAAGTCCGGGGGCTCGATATCTCCAAGATTGTTAGGCATATTATCTCCAGCAAGTCGCGTGTCTCAATATCCTCTATAACCGCTTCCTCATTTAATAACAAACGGAAGTGCCTAGCCCACCGATCCAGTAAATCCGGCTTATTGGTAAGCAGTGTTCCATCTTCTTTTTTACATGTTTGAATCCTAGGCTTAAAAGCGGCACGTCCACTATTAATCTTCTGGAAGAATTTTCTACTTTCTTTTACTCGCCAATGGGCTGCTATATCCTCCAGCTCCTTTCTCTCTCATGCTCTCATCTTATTCCTGAGGAGTTTCTTCTCCAGCCTTCTTTTGTTCCTATATTCCTCAGTGGCTCTCCTGGTGAAGCGGTTAACATGTTCCTGTACGCTTCATTCTTTGCATCATTGACCAACTTACACTCCTCGTCGAACGATTTACCTGTACCCTCAAGAACCTCCTTCCCAAGGATTTGTTCTTCTGCGGCGTCTAAAGCCTTTACTAGTTGGTCCCAGACATCCTGTACACTTTCGATGTTAGCTACTCTGAGCGCGTCTCTCACCAATTCTGCCATTTGATGTTGAAATTCTTAGCAGCTTTCTGGGTCCTTCAGCTTTCCGATGTTCCACCTTTTGGACCTTTCAGTCCTGAGGCTCCTGAAGGTGGCAATTCGGGCTCTAATTCTTGATATTACAAGGTAATGTTCGGAGTCAACATTTGCTCTCTTGTAAGTCCTACTATTAAGGAGATTGGATTTGTGACGTGCAATAATTAAGATGTGGTCAATCTGGTTATGGTTAACGCAATCGGGTGATTCCCATGTAACCTTGTATATCCGCCGTCCCGGGAACAGAGTACTTCCAACTACTAGATTTCTCGATGCTGCAAAATCAACGACCCTCTTGCGATTTTCATTGGTTCCCTCATGTAAACTAAATGAGCCAATCGTGGGTTGATATGCATCTTCTCTTCCAATCTTTGCATTGAAATCCCGCAGCAAGATTTTGATATCGAATCTGGAGCACGCATCAAAACGTCGCTTGAGGTCTTTGTGGGTGCATGACAGCTAAAGAGCATGTAATTGTAGAAGCCTCTCATAGAAGGCCCTCTTGATGCGGATGCAACATAGGCGATCATTAATAATGTTGAATCCAATGACCTGTTGTCTCATCCAATCTCTCACCACGAACCCAGTGCCAAATGAGTGATTCTTCTCGTGACTGTTATAATATATTGTGTGGAATTTCTTCTCCAACAGTCCATGGTGGTCCGTCGGATCTCCTGAATAGCGGTAATGTCAAGTCTGTATTTGTCCAGTTCTGAAAGGAGGATTTGAAGCCCACCTGGTCTATATAAAGATAAAATGTTCCACATTCCTAGTCTGAAATCCATATGACGGTTTCCGTGTCTGTTGGAGGGGCTGCCTTCTCAGAGCCTTCTGAAAGGCTCGTGGGCGAGTTGTCAGGCTCTAGCATACTTCATCAGTCCCATGCCGACCGAAGAAGGGTTTCCCGACTACGGCACGGGGAGCCACCTGACAACCTTTATTGTCACCTTCGCTTCCTCTCCCTAGAGTGCTGGCCATCATTGGTAGATTCTATTACTTACCAGAGAAGGGGTCTCTGACGAGTTTTAGTGTTATCAATAAATAAAAAAATTTCAGCCCAGGAAATTTGTTTTACAGAAATTCAGTCAAATCGTTGATCATCAAGCAGAAAAGAAGAAGACTCAGCACTGACCCCTGAGATAGTCTGTCCCCGTTCTGTTCGATTGGAACCCCATGCCGTGCTCCAGGAGTTGGTGTCTGAACAGATATCGCATTCCTATATCTTCCAGTTATCGCTTCCATGGCGGATATACCCCCTCCTATATCACTTCCGTTGGGTAAGTATACCGAAGCAAGCGTGAAGGCGATGCTGCCTCATCTGATGTAGCATGCTACGCTAATGTATCATGCTAATGTTCATTTGTGTATTATTGTGAATTATATGTGGCAGCAAGTAGAACACGTTCATTTAAAATTTTGAAGTTTTTATTCCAAATGGCAATAGGAAAGGCTATATACTAAACATAACAAACATTCGAAAACAACATTGTTTACAGAGAAGATTTAGAGTTTGTTTACAAAGAGAACATTTTACATAAAAATTGATTTAAACTGAATTGAAATTGCTAATTTAAATTTATTTTTTATTTGCTTATTCATAACATTTATTTAATAAGATAATAAAACATATGAATCAAATATTTTTGAATGAGTCTATTTTGTATCCCTCATAAATAATTTTAAGTAGTTTAAGCCTGATTTTTAATTGAAATTGAAATTTTGTTTTTTATTAATAAATGAGGATTTTTGAATCGTGGTTTACTCTTAATTTATTGAATTTATTTTTTATTTAATTATATGTTTTCCTCAAATTTTTAATGATTATGGTCGAATTTCGATCGCTGGGCGAACACTAGTATATATTAAAGTCCCAAGTTCCTGAAGTATCAGAAGAACCATTGTATGAGGGATAATAATTTGAACTCTTTCACAATGATTTCACCATACAGGTCTACTTTTTCACGGCTTCCTGCTCTCTGGCTATCTATTTGTGATTGAAATTCTAATTTGGACCATCACAGTGCTTTCTTTATTAACAAGGCAAATCAATTCCTGGAACTTCATTTTGGAAAATGGAATACTGGCGTGAATGCTTACGCTTGATAGTTTGCTATCACAATTACGGTTAATAGTCTATGGTACAGACTCCTTTTCATCAAATTTTAACATCCGCTCAAAACTTCGTGAATAGCTACATCTTATCATATCCTCCTACTTTTTTATTTACGTAAATTCTCGGAATTGGAGCGTTTTCTGGGGATAAGAAAACTTTATCTATTTAATTAGACACTTACTACAAACTCATTAGATTTCCGCTTGAATCATAAGGTAATTTAACCACAAAACCGAAAAAAAAAGGCGGCCTACAAAGTTTGGCGTGACCCCCCGAGGGGGATTAAATCGCACACGTTGTGCCATCCAAATTTTTGGGTTGAGCACATTCAGAGGGTGTTAAATTATCGGAATGCTAACTTTTAACCAGGAGACAAAGGTAAAAACATGGGCGAGGTCAAAGCAAGTGTGATCGTATACAATAGGATGTATAAAAAAAAGGCTGTTTTATCAAATTCAAGATTTCAAAGGACTGTAGATATTATAATCCTGTTTAATACTTACTAATCCATTTAGAGCATTCTCTAAGCTTGTTTAATCTTATTCGACTTCTTAAAAAAAAAAAAGCCTCAGTTCAGTTATTTGTTTCAAAGAAGAAACATGATAGTGTCCTACGAAATTCTTGAAATTTTAAGGCATTACTGGAAAAAAAAATTCACAGCCGCCGAAGTAACTCGTGAAATTATTAAATATGAAGGAGAAGGTGTCCTTGAATAGCGTACTGCGAGGAGTTTGAAAAATTTAGCAGAGGAGATACAACATTGGAAAGGAAGAAAGGCTCCGAGCTACCATTAATGGATATTGATGAGGTTCTGCAGGAAGCTGTTGAGTCAAATCCGTTCACAAGTAAGCGCAAACTTGCCAGGGAATGTGGTGTGTCGAAAGATACTGTTAATCGCCATCTACTCTTCATGGGGAAGAGGAAAAAGAGCAGTAGACGGTTTATTCACGAACTTACTCATCCGCAATCAGCTAAGAGTTTAGAAATTTGTGAACATTTATTGAAAAACCCTTCTGATATGAGATTTTAACGGAAGAAAAGAGTATTTACTGGCGAAATCTGAATACTCCTGAGCAATGTCGTAGTCAAACCGCTTTTCGAGTTGCTACAAGGGGAGCAATTAAAAAAAAAAACTGAAAAGGAATTTTATTCCAACAAGGTAATCCACATCCTCACACTTCCCATTGAACAGTTTAAAAAACTTCATGGGTTCAAACTCCTACTCATCCACCATATAGTTATCACTGCTTAATTAGATCCATGGCCAATTTTCTTTATCATTTTGCGGAAGTTGTAGTTGCTGTTCAAGAGTTCTTTGACAGCTATCCCAAAGAAAGGTATCAGTGTGGGATTGAGCAATTGGCTAATGATGATGGATAGCAAAGGACTGTACTTTGAGTATTAATTGTATTTTATATCAAAGAAAAAATAATACAAATATTTGATTGAAAAACTGTCATTTTTTTGAATATATAAACCCTATTAATATTTATTTTTTTCTAATCCTTCTCTCGCCTCCATTGCTTTTAAGAACAGAGCAATAAAATTTCGTGGGAAAGGAAGGGGTATATTTTGGAAAGAATGAGAGCTGTGTTAACTGTTTGTGGAACACAATATAGGGGCATTAGCAAAAAGATAAGATATGTGGAAAGTAGGAAATCCTCTTTGCCATTTTTGGTCCTATCTATTCAAGGACATCTTCCCCTTCATATTTAATAATTTCACGAGTTACTTCGGCGGCTGTGAAATTTTTTTTCCAGTAAAGGCCTTAAAATTTCAATAATTTCGTAGGACACTGTCATGTTTCTTCTTTGAAACAAATAACTATTTCGGAGAAGAGTAACACGGCTGGCTTTTGCTCGAGAACACAGCCATTGGACTATGGACGAATGGAGTGCTGCTCAACGAGATGTTTCAAAGGTATTTAAATTTCCTAAAAAATAAAGGAAGTTTCATCGAAATCAAAGCACTATTAGTAGACGATCCTTCATCGACATTACTCTCCGCCTTTAACTTTCAAAATGGCGGCGAAAAACCTGCGTTGTTATAGACTGTAGATCCTAAACGAATGTACAGATTTTAATGAAACTTCGCTAGTCATTTTCTCGACGCCCTTTAAATTTATCTATATAACATACTTCAACGAAAAGAAGCTGGAAAAAAAAGTTACGAGGGATGGTAAAAATAAATTCCGAATAACTCGAAAAGTTTATACTTTTTTGTTGATATTCTATATAGTTTTTTAAAACTTTACGAAATTTCATAAAAAACAAAAAAAAAATCGTTAAAATCTGACAATTAGGAGCAAAGATATGGTCTCTGGTTTTTTTTTATGTGTTCTACTCCAAATGTTTATCCTTGGTTTGGTTTTTAAATTTGTTACTGAACTAATGCTATTTTTTTTCCAGCATATTACTAATGATTAAAGAAAAGCAGTTTAGTCCAATAATTGGAATCACCTTTTGTTTTTTTTTCTTTGTAACTCAGAAGGTAATGTTACTTTAGATGTATAATTGTTTGGAGATAATAAACCATTGTGCAATAATTTGCAGCATTTTTTTTATACATCCTATTGTATATGATCACCCTTGCTTTGACCTCGCCCATGTTTTTACCTTTGTCTCCTGGTTAAAATTTATCATTCCGAAAATTTAACACCCTCTGCTCAACCCAAAAATTTGGATGGCACAACATATAATTCAATAAATTAAGAGTAAATAACGATTCAAAAATCCTCATTTATTAATAAAAAACAAAATTTCAATTTCAATTAAAAATCAGGCTTGAACTACTTAAAATTATTTATGAGGGATACAAAATAGACTCATTCAAAAATATTTGATTCATCATGTGTTTTATTATCATATTAAATAAATGTTATGAATAAGCAAATAAAAAATAAATTTAAATCAATTTTTATGTAAAATGTTCTCTTTGTAAACAAACTCTAAATCTTCTCTATAAACAATGTTGTTTTCGAATGTTCTGTTATGTTTAGATGCACTCTCGAATTTGTAGAAGTATGGATGATTCAGATAGCTGACTTCAGTGGTTACATGTTTCTTTGTGTCATCCTAGAATCAGGAGAATGTATTAAAAATTTACCTTTTTCTTTTGAGATGATCAAAAGAGTGACCTCATGTGAGATAAAGCCAGGATTCTTCAAACATCAAGGGAAATTGATTAAAGCTACTTCACGGTTCGAACGCCTAAACATTGATTTCAAGGGACCTCTACCAAATTCTAACGGAAACAAGTACCTTCTAGTGATGGTAGATGAATATTCTCGATTCCCCTTCGCTTTTCCTTGCCGAGATATGACATCTTCTGTGATCGTGCTCTGACTCAATTGTTTTACCTTTTTGGCGCTCCTGCATACATCCAGTTTAATTTCACATGAATTAAAAACATTCCTCTTATCTAAAGGCATCGCATCCTGTAGATCAACTCCTTACAATTCACAAGGCAACGGCCAAGTTGAAAGGTACAACGGAATTATCTGTAAGACAATACTACTTGCGCTCAAGTCTAAACACTTTCCGGTAACTAAATGGGAATCAGTTTTATCTGAGTATCTACATTCTATGCGTTCTCTATTATGTACAGCAACTAATGAGACACCGCATGAAAAGATGTTCAATAATCCCAGACGTACCAGGAATGGAGAATCACTTCCCAGCTGGCTTATGAACTCTGGGCCTGTTTTCTTAAAACAGTTTATTCGCCATTCAAAATCTGATCCTCTTGTAGAGGAAGTAACCCTCTTGGATGGTAATGTTGAGTATGCTCAAATTCGCTATCCAGAAAGAAGGGAAACAACAGTATCGACCAGATATCTTGCTCCTATCGGGAGCAACAGAAATTCTACTGTATATGACGAGGAGGTAGATAGCTATCAAGGGGCACCTATCGTCACTGAAGCGGAGGAACACGTCAGACCTGGTTTGGTAGTTGTACCACCTGTTCAGGAAGATGACTTCTATGGGTATAATATACAAAACGAATACCAAGGGCAAGCAGTGAATAATCCTTCCGAGGATAGGTCTCTACTATGAGCTAGCTCAAGAACTAGAAGACCTCCCTCATACTTAAAAGACTGTGTGACCTCTTAAATGAATAAGGTGGGGTGAATGTTATGAAGTTGAGTAAATTTAAATTAACATATGTTTTTAAAATATCATTCATTCATTAATGTTGTATTCTATGAGTTGAATAAAACCTTATGTTGAAGGTATTATTTATTTATTACACTTTCTTTCTTCATTAAGTTTCTTTTTATATTTTTTAAATCTGGAATAATATAAATTTAAAGGAGGTGGGAAAATATTGAAAAAAATAAATAAATAAATAAACAGGCAACCATTTACAATTCATTAATGTTTAACAGCAAAACAAAACATATCTACATTAAAGTGTGTCTTCACAGAAGACATGATTATACACAGTAAATGAATATAAATTTTCCATAAATATGTATTTACAACATTATATTCACATTGAAAACATCTAATGAAATAGATGTCATGACTTCAGACCCACAAGAGTTGCTATATCAGGTTTTATATCACATTCACTTTTTTTACGTCCTGTAAAATAAAAGGTAAACATGTTACACACAATCAGAAAATACAGATAAAATGAGAAATAACATCAAATACAACAAAAAGTAATGACACACTATACACTTTAGCCCATTGGGTTTCAGAATACTACTTGGAATATTTTGATATATTGTTACGATAAACCTACACTTAATTTTCCTTTATTCCAATTCAGAAAGAAAAGTTTGGTACGAAAGTCTTGCTGCGAGAAGAAAATATATTTAACAATAAGTGCTTAGTCGATAAAAACAAATTTATTTTTTGCTATTAATCTTTCTCTTTCTTATCAATCATTTAAAATATGAAGACACATAAAAATCAAGGATTTTAAGTACCTCTTTTGGTAGTATCAGAATCATCTTCTGATAACGAATTGCCTCTACCTTTCCTGCCAGAGTCTCTTCTCCTCCTTCGACCTGTCAATCCTTCAGTGACCTGATTGGCTCTAGCTTCCCATAAGAGGGCTTGCTGCTCGACGATTTCTGGGTATCTTAAAAATAAATACAGTTTCAGAAAACAATTAACATTAAATTGAAAAAAAAAAGGAATTAAAAGATTGTTTGTCTTGGGGTATTAAAAAAGAAGCACTTTCACTTCACTTAAAAGATAAAAATGGGGAAGAGGTGGAAGTAAAAAGTTGGAGCCCCAAAAACGCAGTTCTTGTTACTAAATCTAAATTTCAATAAATAAATAAAGTAACCAAATAATTAAAAAAACTATTTGACTTATTACACACCTGGTCATAAACCTTACATCTTGAGGTTGGCAGAATATCCAAGCCTTATGCTGATTAAGTTTACCTACTTCGGAAACTATTTCTAAGATAACTTCAGGAGGCAGTCTAATAATTTCTCCAAGCTTGACTCTTTCAATAGCACGCCCTTCAAAATACTGAAGCAACTAAAAGTAAAAAATATAAATCTGTATTAATATTAGAACTTTTTGTAATGGCACACTTATCTAGCTATTAAAAAATCAGCTGAAACTAGACAAGAGTAGCAGTATAATACAATAAATACCATAATAAGAGGGGGTTAGAACAACAGTGGCTAAAGTAAAAGATAACACAGGTGGACTTACAGCCTTTGAAACTAATAAAGACAAACATCCCTTTAGTAACCAACAAAAAATGAGACCAAATTTTAAAATAGATTAATGTTTTAGAATTGCTTACACAGTTTCAGTAAACTGACAGGTCATTCCAGCTTTGTAATCGAATAGATTTTTATTACCTGACAGGTTTTTTTTTTTAATATACATGGTGTCCCGTTAATAGAAGAAAATTTATATAGAAGTCATAGCAGATTACAGATTACCTCTATACCAAAGTTCATATTAAAAATGGGCCTATTTTTAGCAGAAAGTCAGGAAATCCATGTTTTTATAAGAAGTAAGTCATGGTTTTTGAAATGAAATGAAAATATATTTTATTATTCTAGGACTGTTGTCCCTTTAGAACAAATTATAAGCACAGAATACATGTCTGTTTGGTCATAAAAAAATTAAATATTTACAATAATAGTTAATTAAAAGTAAAAATACAGAAGAGAGGGGGAAAAAAAAAAAAGAAAATCGTAGGTATATATATCAGACAAACAAAGGAAACTAAAATAAGTCTTGGGAGGTACTTAGATAGTTCTCTTAGACATATTTCGTTATGAGTCGGATTGAGAAAAGGTAGGTGTTTGAAAGAGGAAACTGATTGTGCGTGTCAAATATCAGCAGGGATGGAATTACAGAGGGAGGCGGCTTGAATTGCAAAGGATTTGTCAAAAGAGATCTAGTGGGGCGGGATTGGATGGAGAATTTAAATTATAAGATGTGAAAAATATAGGAGGGTCGATGAGTTCTAATGACCGAGTACAGAAAGGTAGCTAGAAAGTATTGACAGCGATATGACGGATAGAACTACTTCAACTCGGTGTAATATTGGGTAATATGCGTATTTCTTGAGATTCCGAAAACAAAACATAATGCCTAATTCATTAGGCGTTTAAGTTTGGCTTCAAAATCTCTCGAGAGTCCACCTCACATCATACGATAGTCGAAGTGGGGAGAAATAAAGAGAGGAAACTAGGAGTTGACGGGACTTAAATGGAAGGAGATCACGTAGACGATTGAACTGTTTTAAGGTGGAGATAGTGCGACGGGAAATTTGGGGGATGTGTGGTTTCCAGGAGATGGTTTGATCAAACGTAACACCTAGGTTTTTAACGGAAGTATGGAATAAGGTAGGTGAGTTGTCCAGAAGATTGGAGGATACCGGGAAGGATTTGAGAGTAAGCCTGTTGAGGTGTGCCCAAGCACTTATTCTATTAATATCTTCTTGGAGTTTCATAATGGCATCTGAGGAATCGGTTGGATTGAAGGAGAGATGAATTTGAACGTCATCAGCATGCAGGTGGTATTTACAGCGCAGAATAGAGGATGGGAGGTCATTTATATAGATGGAAAAAAAGATGGGAGACAAGGAAGAGCCTTGTGGGACGCCTCCAGACAAGGGTAAAGATTCTGATGAGGGGCTATTAGGGATTACAATATACTGGGAGCGACCGGTAAGGAAGGATTAGAACTAATTAAGGCCACTAGAAGAAAAGGAGATATTTTTAAGTTTGGTTAGGAGGATGTTGTGGTCTACGAAATCAAAAGCTTTAAAGACGTCAAGGAGAATAAGGATAGTTAGTTTCTGTTGATCTATGGCTGTATGAAGGTCTTGGGAACTTTTGATCATGGCAGACTGAGTAGAATAGTAGAAACCGGACTGGTAGGGATTTAGGAGATTATTGTGCTCTAAAAAATGATAGCTGGAATTGGACTAGGTCTCTAAGAGTTTGGAGAGATTTGAAAGAAAGGAATTGGACGGAAATCATTAAGAGCTGAAGGGTTAGAGGTCTTCTTCGAGGGGCATATTAGGGCAGTTTTCCAGGATGTAGGGGAAGGTAGCATTTTGAAGAGAATTACTAAAGATATGATAAAGGTTTTTGTTAGGAAGCATAACTAATGAAATATTTAATTTACGTAATTTACAATTGCTTGGTCGTCAACTAGACGACCAAATTTACTTTAAACAAAAAAAAGAATTTGTCATTAGTAACTATTTAAAGAGGACTTTTGAGTGACTAAACTAAGCTAAGTTCTTTTATTAAAATAATCATAAATTATTTACGATTTTTTTTTTTTTTTTATCATTATCCGACTATACTACAGATACTTCTCTTTCAGGAAAACTTCCTCATTTAATGAACTTTAAGTTAATATAAATTAAGTTGAGGTTTATCAGGCTGAAATTTGAGATCCATCTCAAAATGATGTATTTTCTATCTAGTCACCTAAAAGTACTTGTATTTTCAGCGAAAATGACCACAATTAACTATTACAAAGCTTTTATTTCTTGTTTTTTCCATGATCCGGAATGTAATAATAATAATAAAAATAATTGAAGCAAACAGTGATTTCTTTATTTTAAACATAAATTTTAGGACTAGAAATATTATGTTTGTCACTGATAAATACCGATCAATTCCTATGTGAGACATCTGAGAGGTAAAACAAAATTTCATAACTACTTTACATAAAAAATATTTAATAAATCTTTATTTTTATAAATAAAATGTGTATTGAGGTAATTATTTTTATTTCAATACATACCAAATCATGTAAAAACAGGAAATAAAAGCTTTGCAACAGTTAATTGTAGTCAGTTTTGCTGAAAAAAGGAATACTTTTTAGCCCTGGAGCCAGGGCCCAAAAATCGACCTGATCGCAGGCGAAGGTTTGATTGTAAATTACGAAAGTGTATGTTATTCTGAGTAAAAAGAACCTTGTCTGCCATTCCAGAGCCGCTGCTTTCAAAAATGGCGGCTGATTTAAAGAATATTAGGCCAATAATTTAAGGATCGAAACGGGAAATCCATTGCGAAAAGTTTTTATTTTTCTAACTTGTATATATGAGTTTAGACATGTAAAAAACAAAATTGCTAACGCGGGCCACCAAGGGAAAACTTTTTACAGCCAAAAAAGTCAGATTTTTTTGGATTTTGCACCTATAACTCCTAAACAATGCATCAAAGCGAAAAATGTATTCTTTAATAAATTAAAAGACGTTAAATTTTGCGTCAAACGAGTAAAGAAACTTTATAATTTGGTTACGCGGTAAGGTATAAAACTACAGTCAACCAACGCTGATCTTTACCAAATTTGTCAAAAACTGAGACAAATTACTATAAATGGCCGTATAACTTGGAGATGAGTTTCCCTAAGAGGAAAAACCCATAGAATCAAAGTTGTAGAACATAGAATTTTGCGTCCATTAAGTACTGACATTTTTATTGTAGGCCAATTATATATCTTGAATCGGGATTCGTTAGTCCTTTATAAAATTCGGTATCTTTCGGCACATCGTTTACCAAAATCTTTTGCTGTTGAGAGGTGGAAAAGAGGCTTATACTGCATGTAACAGACTTTAAACAAAACTAACTCAGTAGAAAAGACACCCATACTGTTGAAATATTAAAAATCAGGTTTACCTTCATTACCAATTTCTAACCATCGATAGATTACCGATTTTTTTAGCAGCCAGTGACCTACATTAAATTAGTTGGTACTCAGTGGATGCCAAATTTGATGCTCTAAAACTTTGATTCTATGGGTTTTTCCTCTTAGGGAACGCATTTCCAAGTTACACAGCCATTTATAGTAGTTTTCCTCAGTTTTTGACAAATTTGGTAAAACTCAGCTTTGGTTGACCGTGGTTTTATACCTTATGGCATCACCAAATTTTAATGTTTATGTAATCGTTTGACGCAAAATTTAGCATTCTTTAATTTGTTAAAGAGCACATTTTTCGTTTTGATGCATTGTTTAGGAGTTATAGGTGAAAAACCCAAAAAATATCGAAATAATCTGTCTTTTTGGCCTGTAAAAAGTTTTCCCTTGGTGGCCCGCGTTAGCAATTTTGTTTTTTACATGTCTAGGCCCATATATACAAGTTAAAAAAATAAAAACTTTTCTCACATTTTTTGCAATGGATTTCCCGTTTCGATCCTCAAATTATTGGCCTAATATATTTTAAATCAGCCGCCATTTTTGAAAGCAGCGGCTCTGGAACGGCAGACAAGGTTTTTTTTACTTAGAATAACATACACTTTCATAATTTACAATCAAACTTTCGCCTGCGATCAGGTCGATTTTTGGGCCCTGGCTCCAGGGCTATTTAGATGACTGGATAGAAAGTCACATCATTTCTTTACACAACTTGAGGTGAATCTCACATTTTTGCCCAATAAACCTCAATTTAATTAACATGGACTTAAAGCTTATTAAATGAGGAAGTTTTACTAAACGTGGAGTAGTTATAGTATAGTTGGGAGATGATAAAGAAAAAAAATACAAATATTTTATGATATTTTTAATAACAGAACCTAGCTTAGTTGAGCTGCTCAAAAGCCCTCTTTATTAAATAGTTATAACAATGACAAACTTATCTTTGTTTGAAGAAAATTTTATCTAGTTTACAGTGAAGCAATTGTTAATTACTTAAATTAAATATTTTATGAGTTATCGCTTCCCATTCCACAAAAATAAGTGACGTTAGAAAAAACACAAAACATGGATTTTCTACTTTTCTGTTGAAAATTGGGCCATTGTTTATATCAACTTTTTTGTAGCTCTTACGGTCTGCCAACATTCCTATAAAAACTTCCTTCTACTCACAGGACATCCTTAATATTAAACTAATAAAATAATTTTTTGCTGATAAAATATTATCAGGTATTACAAGAGAATTTTATGTCTTTATAAACAAACAAACAAACAATTTAAATCAACCTTACCACATAATCTCTAGCACGAATCAGCATTTCCTGTGGCACTGCATGGTGGGCACCAACATACCTGAAAAATCATTGGAAAAATAAGCGAAATTTTAATTTTTTTTTTTATAAATACAAATCAAAAAAATTATTCTCTTAAGCAGTTCACAAAAACAAGAAATGAATGAATACATGCTAGCTCACAAATCATTAGCAATTAAGTAAATAATATTTACCTGAGATCGGACCTGAGCACCCAGACTCCCTGGACAAGGACTCCTGATGTTTGAAGACAAGGTAGGATTTCTGCTTCGGTAACACCAATTACTTCAGCAGCTACCGATGTCTTAATACCTTTAACTGAAATAAAATTTTCATTTCAATTAACTATGATATATTTTTTTCTTGAGAAACTAATCATACAAATTTATATGTGAATGAATGGCCATGTTCATTAAATAAACATAGCTAAAAAACATAAAATTTAATTTTTAGATCTTAACAATTTATTAAAAATTGGGGGAAATACAACTATACATATATCATAGGAACATTTTGTTAAGAAAAAAAAAATTCAATAATTAACATTACCTAATAACAAGAATATTCATAAGTTTCTGGGGCAATAATATTTCCAAGATTTCTTGATAATATTATACCAGAATGCAACCATTCCTAATTTCTAATACCAAATATAAACTAATTAATAGTTCCTTATTTAAAAAGTGAAAATATAAAATATTGGATTATTTACAACAAATAATTTGCTTTTTATAATGAAAATTGATAGAAAAAAAAAGAATCACATGCTACTTGGTAGATAGCAGGTCTTCATCAGGGCTGAATAGTCCGATAAGGAGACAGAGAATTAATTATATAAAAATAACATGAAGTATAAGTACTATTGATATGGCAGAACATTTGAAATTGAAATACTTAAAAAAATAAGGCAGTACAACATTTTAAGGCACTTTTATTAATAGTTTAAACTGTCACAAAAATGTGTTTATTGTTTGGTTAGAAAAACTATTCAATTACCAAGAATTGTCCAAAGAAATTTTTTAAAAATACTCAGAAATGATTTTTTTTTTTTTTTACCCCTTGGAAACATGTATACATACCTCGTGTCAACAGTTCAGTAACCCTCTGGGTTAAACTTAAATGACCAGAGGCCACATTATTATTCAAGGCAATATCCTGTTTTGCAATACTGTCCAAATAGTCAACTGAAGAGAGTGGTGTCCGCCCTTCCATCAGCGCTTTAGCAAGCCTCTGCCTCTCAACCTAACAAAAAATAATTTAACCGTATAAATTAATCCAACCCAACAAATGAATGAATATGAATTACAAAACATTTTTTCATAGTTTTTAATTAATTACACCTATTCTTAAGGCGGCTATTGATGATTACTTTAAATGAAACAATGAAGTGAAGCCACTAAATGCAGTCCGTAGTTCCACTCCATCAATTTTCCACAATAATGAAATGAAGTGATTGGATTTCGCTGTGGTGTGACAGAGTTTAGGGGCTGATACTAACCAGCTACTCCATTATACTCCAAAAATTCAACACAGGATTTCATACTTTTATCTTTGATTTTGCCTTATCAGGTATATGAGCAGTAGATTAATGCCAGTGTTTTCATGGGTTAAATGCTCCCAGTACCCAGTCTCAAACTCGTAATCTTCAGGTAAACAGGTAACACATGTGTTACAAATGTGTTAGTTTGCTCAGCCACTCTGCTCACAGGATTTTATACTTATAATTGTTCCTCGTTTCATTTATCTTGGAGAGATTGAAATGGAGTGATCATCAGTGGCCAGCTTAGCAGTGCTTCAGAGATTACTTACTTTACCAATAATTCAAGATTTAAATTCACAACTCATTATTAAGGAAAACAGATTTGCTTGATGTATTGTGTAATTAAGTACAAAAAGTACAATGATTTATCATTTAAATAAAAAAAATTGGTGCGCGCAACACACAACTTTCATTAAAAGCTCAACTTTGAGTAGAAATTATTTTCTGGCCATGTTGTGGTATAATAAAATGTTTGAATTGCATTTTTAACCAAGCTAAAGCCAAAAGCTTACAGCTAACAAATCATAAATAGCATTAAAATAACAAAAGGCCTATTTATTATATCATCTGTTGATTATGGTGTTACCTCACTCCTCTTGTGATGTCATGATGCCAGTTTTATTTCTTCCTACCTCTTTGGAAATCGATCGCCCAGGCTTGATACAAAATATACTCGGTAATTAATTTTTCTGCAGCTGCTTTCTCTCATATTTGTATAACATTATTTTTATTTTGTATTTTTGTTTAAACTTTATTACACATAGCTTTTGTATTGTTTCCCAAAAAATTAAATTGTATATATCAATTGTTAATGGTGTATTTATTGAGTGAACCTACCAGAATCTCTTAAAATGGATTGTACGACTAATAGTTATTGAGCTGTTATTTTCCATTACGAAGTTTATTAAAATGAAATTATGAAATTTGCATTGTCTGAAATAGATATTGTCAAAAAGGTGTCACACGAATTGAAAGTGGATACTGTTGGAATATCATAAAGGAAAAATTTATCAAATTATTCACTAATTTAATTTTCTAAAAGGTTACATGATTTTTTGGAATAAATGAATGGTAAATACCTAATTATTTAAATATAATAACAGATCTAGAGTTATTAAACTAAAGTAAACATATTTAAGGGTTTCAACATATCCATGAAATATTTTTATATTTCACTTCTTTCACACAAGCACAATGCAATAGATTTTTAAACAGAGTCATTGCCTTGATTAGGCGGATTTTAAATACTTTTTTTTCAAACTTAAATATATTATAAATGTTTATATTTAGTTAGTAAATTCCATTTGATTTCTTGAAAAACATGTGATTTACGTAAAATAATAGAAGTTTTCCAAAGCCACTCTCTATTAACTTCGACAACTTTCTATATTAGATATTGTTTTTTCTAAAATTCTCCGCTTTCCAGCGACATATTATGCATAAACATTCTGACTATTATTTCCAGAGATTCATTTTCGACCTGGGTAAGCATTTTTTAAGCATTATGATCATCAATCATCAATGGGGATCAGACCTAAATGATATTAAAGACCACATTATAATACAATGATACACCAAGTTTAATAAAAATCCCTATTTGAGAAAATTGTAAACATGTGTTTGACTATTTGATATAAAGTAGCACTTCTGATTAGCCGATTTTTACGAAAAAGTGCTGTAACGTCTGAAGTATAACCAAACTTCAAGTATGAAATTTCACTTTTGTTTTTGAGCTAGACTGTTCACATACATACAAACACAGACTATTTTGTTAGACTTGTTTATTTGGACCCAGGAGAACTCAAAACAAGTTTTTATTGAATACTCACAAGTCGAAAATTTTCACGATCGTAATACTGTCCCTTAATATATACTTCATATAAAGGTGATAGTAATATATTATGTATGTCGTGTTTCTGTATGTTCCAAGTAGCAATTTTATTCTATATTGTAAAGTTTTATGGATGCAAAAGTAAACAAAATGTTTCTGAACAAAAAACAATTTATAGAAGAAACTGTTTTAACTGATTAATCGGACTATTAAATTTTACGTAGGTTAGGTTGTCACAACTAAACACACATACAATTTACAACTTGAGATACCTTGAATCTATACATTAATTCTAAATGAAACACTTATGAATTTTCAGACTATTAATTGTCCAGGTATAAACTTGATGTTTTCAACACTGTCACTATATAATTTCCACTCACCCAGTTAGGTCTGATCATGAATGTTTCTGCAGGCTCTGTTTGCTCCATCTCCCATAATCGTTTTAAACCAAACATCTAGAGGGGGCTTCTTAAAAACTTAAGCTTCACTGTCTTAAATGTACCTTCAACCTTCACTGGTTGCCGGGCGATTACTGTTTGACAACCAAGCACATGGCCCTCCCACTCCCTTCCAGCTGTATTCTTCTACTTCTTTGTAAGGAGTTAATGACGTCACTGTTTTCGCGCCACTATTTAAAACACTATTGAGTTTAAATTACAATATGTAATGTTTACATTACATCTCTGTTATCATTTCTTATTTCAGTTTTAAATAATTTCGTTCCAAATTTGTAAATAGCTTTATACTTTCTGATTTGAAAATTTCGAAACTATCCATAATCCATTTTAAATAATATTTAATTTAATATCCAGTCAATTCCCGATTCTCTCGCGTTAGCATCGTCAATGTTACTTTCACCTATACCTATATGTGTAATATATAGTAAGGGAAAGTATTCCGATCGTGAAAATTTTCAAATGAATTTTCAACAGAAATACACGTTTCGAAGTCCTCTAGAGTCGCAATAACCAAGTCACGCAAAATGGTCAGTACGTGTGAACAGCCTGACTAAAAAACGAAAAGTCGTACGAAACTGATATTATATACTGAAGATAGATATATAGCCGGAATGTTACAGCAACTTTTTCCTTAAAATAGGCTAACAAGAAGTGTCACTTTATAGAATCGATTTTACACATATTCCTCAAATACGGCTCTACCATTTTTTATTGAATTCAGTGTATCAATGTATAATTAAATAGTCTTGCATATCATTTAGGTCTTTTTCCCATTTATTTCACTTTACAGGGCTTAAATGCTCTATGTTGTAATGTTATGTTTTGCGTGTAAAAGTAAACAAACGTTTCTGAACAAAAAAAAAAATTTTTAACAAACCAATACTTTAACTGGGTACTAGTTAAATAGCGGGTAGCGTCGAAACCTCCGTTTTTATCTAATCTTATCTAACATAACTTCCCTTCTTATCTCCTCCAACCTATCCATTGTTTATTTGTTGTCCCTTGTGTAAGCTGTGAGTTAGTCTTATTTAATTATGGATGTTACATTGTGGGAATTGCCGTCTTCAGAAGAAGAAACTATCAAATATTTTCAAGACAGGATATTTGGCAAGGTGAAATATTGTGATGAAGGTCATGAAATGAAGTTCGACAGGGAGATTAAATGGAGATGCTTTCGTATTTGTAACAAAACCGGTTTCTTTAAGGAAAGGAACTAGTCTGTGCACCCTTCCTCCCCTCCCCACATCCCTATAAATTGCATATCGTTCCTTGTAAATATTTCTTTAAAAAAAGCAAATGCTCCCGCAAAAAAAGTGAACGCACTGCCCCAAAGTGGCGTCCAAACATGGCGGATTGACGACTTTGACTTAAGTTAGTTTTATGGTCATTGATAGTCAGCATTTGACTTAATTATCTCATAGTTGGTCTTTTATCAAAGCTGAATAGTCAGAGAATAATAAAACATGAACAAATATTAAAAAATAATTGGCAATAGGCAATAAAAAATACCAGTAAAGTCAATATTTTTAACAAAAAAATTTTCAAGTTGAAAATCAAGCGTCGTTTGTAATTAATTTGTAATTAAACGGCCAATGATAACGCAAAACGTGCTGAAATTAAACATCTTGAGAATATATTTCTCTTTCTAAAACACTGATTACTTTTTAAAATATTTGAAACAGTTCCGTAGAAAATGAACTTAAGCGGCATAAAGTGGTACTGGAGTAGGTGCCTTCAGGCCTCTACACCATTCAGTACTCATAAATGGCTTAGTTATAGTGCTATAATAACGTTTTCTGTCAATTATATTTATTTTATTAACGAACAAATACTAATGCAATAATTTAATTGTCCAAAAAATTAAAAAAAAATTTTTTTAAAAATGATTATATTATTTTTTTAAATTTAACTTTCTTTATTCTATACGAAGACCGTTTAAAAATACCTCAATTTTAAAAATGATATAATTATAATAAAACTTAATTAGAAAATACTTTGCTAAATATCTTGAATTTTTTATTTAACGTTAACAATTTAACACTTTTTTTTATATCTACTAATTTTCGGCAGTAATTTAAATTGTACATACTTCCCAGGAAATGAGTCATATTAATACATGTTTTATAAAATAAATTAATATATCTAATTTGAACTACATATAATGAATAGTTGATGGGTTGTTTAGTAAAACTCATTGTTTAGAAATTGCGGAATAAATTGTTCGGAAGTTGGACCATATCATAAAAAAATAGGAAATTTTAATATTGAATGCATTATTCTCTCTGAACAAAGAAAGATGGAAAGGAGGAAGCTATAAGTTCTTCTAGATAACCAGAACTGATTGTTTGGATTTGGTCTCAAAATGAGAGAAAACGCGAAATTGAACCCAACAATTGGAAAATAAATTAAGCGAACGAGAAAGGAAGTGCCAAAATCTCAAAAAAGGAAACAAGGATCAGTATCAATTATATGGCTAAACAAATATATATTAGGCAGATGAACAGAATATTTCAAGATGCTGCTAAAAGGGAGTCAAATGCTGGAGAAGTTTGGCTGATATTAAGAGGATGATGCAGGTTTATTATGGTTAAGACCATTTTATCAGAAAGAAAGATTTGTTTCAAGCAATTGGCAAGTCAGCTGGTCTGGACAAAGTAAACCGAACTGCAGCGCGTACATAGGCAACAAATGTATTAGAAAAGGACTATAGTTTTGTACCCTTACAAGAAAGGAGATAATAGGAAATGCAGTGTTTTAGAAAGAGAAATATATTCTCCAGATGTTTTATTGCAAAACATTTTGCGTTATCGTTGGCCGTTTAATTACAAACGACGCTTGATTTTCAACCTGAAAATTTTCTTGTTAAAAAAATTGATTTTACTGGTGTTTTTTATTGCTTAAGCCAATTATTTTTTAATATTTGTTCATGTTTTATTATTCTCTGACTATTCAGCTTTGATAAAAGACCAACTATGAGGAAATTAAGACAACTATCATAACATTATTATTTCATTTATTTGTATATAATAATATGAATATAATACAATAAATATGAATACGAAGATATTATCAGTAGCTTATTAGAGTTACCAGTGTTAAGGTTATAAACATTGGCAGATAGCAGTCGGATGCTACCCGCTATTTAACAAGTACTTTAGATACCCTTAAACTATAGGTTCATTATATATTAAACAGTTATGAATTTCCACACTATTAATTGTCCGGGTCTAAACTAAACGAGTGCTTTCAAACTAGGGGTTTGACAGTCCAGGAAAACTCTGTCACCATAGGAGCAGTGACGGTGACAATCAAAAACTTCTTGTTCATTCCTTTATTTAATTTATGAACATCTTCTCGTATATTATTTCTGAATATATATCTCTTTTGCAGCTCTGAGGAGTGATGGATATTGACAAATGAGGTTTCAATAGAAAGGGAATATCACGTAGCATGCACAAAAAGTAATTTTGATTGCTAATTTTATACTCGGACTTAAATAAAAGTGAATGCGAGAGAGATTTCAAATCATTTGATAGTAAATCTAGTGGGATTTAAAGCTAATGGCCATTTTAAATTCTAAATAAACCTCATCTGTACACACAACTTCGGTCAGTCGGTCGAAGCTTTGCTTTCAGTGCAAAAATTTTAATTAATGAAGCGAAATTTGAGGGTTCATTTAACGGAAGAATATATCCTCAAAAAAGAATTCACCTTGATTGACGATGTATTTGGTTGGGTTTTGAAAACTGATGACATCACAGTCATCAAATTAGGCCAGTACGATGGTAGTTGATAGAGGAAAAAAATTCAAATAGTCTTTTCTCTTCGGTTTTTTGAGATGCTAAATCTGAATTTGATATTTCCGAATACAATTTTTCATTGTGTTCGGAGATATATATGAAAAAAACAAAAAAAAAAACAGAAATTTCTGAACTTTTTTTTTAGTTATTTAGACATGACACCAAAACTATGCATTTTTTCGAAATTATTATCATATACAAAGTTAAAGAAGATAAAATTTACTATCAATTATATACATCACTTTTTGGTGTAGAGCCAAGGAAGGGTTGAGGAGTTGGAGAATATTGACTGCTTATTTCACAAGAAATATCTGTTTTTATTGGTTTTCTCTTCCCTTCTCATCCCCGTCCCCCTGAAAACTCATAATCTATGCATCTCTAAAAGAAATTCATCAAAATTAATTTGAAAGATCTCGAAATTTTCTATGTATCTTATGTAGACATATTAATATGTGAGCGGGTTAAGCGGCTGTTAAGGTGCATGAAATCGAAGGTGTAGTTTACTCATAGTATCTGCTTCTCACAACTTAAGTTCTTTTTATCTTTTCAGCTAATTTAACTATATTCATAACAGAATTAGAATATATAAACAAATTACATAGCATTTATATGCTCTATTAGTATGAGAGACATCAAAATTCATAATAATCAAAACTTAAGAATCGAAATGAGCTTTTAAGTTCGAGCGATCAAACAACATTTCGACTACTCACATATTACGACTCTACATAAGCTTGAATTAAATTGAAAGGGCATCAAAATTATTATTGAGCTCAGGTGTAATCGTTAATACAGGAAAAGTTGAAAAGCTATTAGAGCTCTCGACCTTAAAAGCTCATTTCGGTTCATAAGTTTTGATTATTATGAATTTTGATGTCTCTCATTCTAACAGAGTATATAAAAGCTATGTAATTTGTTTATATATTCTAGTTCTGTTATGAATATAGTTAAATTAGCCGAAAAGATAAAAAGAACTTAAGTTAATAGAAGCAGATACTATGAGTAAACTAGACCTTCGATTTCATGCACCTTAACAGCCACTTAACCCTCTCACATATTGACATGTCTACATGAGATACATAGAAAATTTCAGGATCTTTCAAATTGATTTTGATGAATTTCTTCTAGAGATGGATAGATTATGAGTTTTCAGGGGGACGGGGATGAGAAGGGAAGAGAAAACCAATAAAAACAGATATTTCTTGTGAAATAAGCAGTCAATATTCTCCAACTCCTCAACCCTTCCTTGGCTCTACACCAAAAAGTGATGTATATAATTGATAGTAAATTTTATCTTCTTTAACTTTGTATATGATAATAATTTCGAAAAAATGCATAGTATATATGTATATATATCAATTATATACATCACTTTTTGGTGTAGAGCCAAGGAAGGGTTGAGGAGTTGGAGAATATTGACTGCTTATTTCACAAGA